CCCATTTTTACCTCATTTTTGCCCATTGTCTGTATCTTATTATAATTAAGCTTTTTATATTTGCCTACGTATTAGTTTATGTAATTGTATTTTTTCTCTGAGAGGAGTGAATAAAGAGTTTCTCATTCACTCATTCATAGAATTCTAAATTATTTTGAGAAATATATACCTCAGATAAAAAAATCCTATATGATTAAATAATTCCAACCGACTATTCACGCTAAACTAGAATGTGGTACCTATACTAGTGTCTGAACATAATTCTTTCTGCAATTAAATTCTCTATAAAGTATAGATAAACTGTTTTGAAATAAATAAACTATCTTATAGGTCATTCAGGGCACAACAACTTTTGAATTATACCTGTCACTATAATTTAGATAGTTCCATTTACATCCTGGAAGCAAAAAAAAATTAACACTAATAATATGTACCTATGTTGAAAATTGTTAATACCTACCTAGCTATTCTTGGATCAACTGTTCTTAGGTCTAATTATCTCTTATATTCTAAAGTATTTACTTGTTCTTATATATTTATTTCCTGTATTTATATAATTAGTTATACCTCTTATTGTCTATCTATCTCCACGACTATTTCGTATTAGTTGTAGTTTATGTTTAGAATTAGATCCTTATAATTTGTATAGATGTAAAATCAAAATAGTAACATATTTTGTCTACCTATAGGTATATCTGGCCAGATATTTGGTGTCTTAGGTTGCAATTGTAAAAAAACTTTTATTTTATTATATAATAAATAAACGAAGTTTAATTATATTGAATAAACGTTACAAATATACGTTTGATGTACATTTGACCTCTTAATTATTTTAATTACGTCACTTTTTAAAATCTAAGTAAAACTATCATTCTAGAAAGATATATTAATAAGTATTATAAAAAAATGTTACATTTCAAATATTTTTACAGATTTTTTTGCTCTATGTTCAAACAATACAGGAAGATATTTTTAATCTGATTTTACTTTATAATTTTAAAATTAATAATAAATATTGTTCTTATAATTATCCAAATTGAAATACGACATGCAGATCATAAAGTGATATTATATATTAGTGAATATAAATAAATATATTCTGTAATAATACAATAAATATCTTTTAATTCGACTAAGAACTCAATAATGTAGATACCTACTAATATATTTTAAATATATTGTTGGTAGAAGCGATTGTTAAAAGTACCTACCAATATACTTATAAAAAAGACGTGCAAATATTGAACGTGTCTTATATATCATATATATTATTTATTAATTTATACTAAATAGTGTTAAATTAAAATATTAATTGACCACTATTACACAGACGTGAAACACAGGCAGTAGTAAAAATTAAGAAATATCAGATAAATATATAGTACCATAGTCTTAATACAATCACACGAAAAAGTAACGTTATTTAAACAATATGAAGGTTAAAAAATAAACCGTATTATCCAATAGAAAAATAAAATGCAAATAAAATTGGACAACATTAAAAATCCGCAATTCAAAAGTCTTAAATCAACAAATTCATTTCCAATACCATGAAAAAAATATATTCCATATCATTCTTACATACCGGGGGTGTTATACTGCGGAGGTACCTACTTATCTACAAAATATAAATAGTTGCGTTTCAGAGAGAAATAATTTAAACATATACTACATATTTTTCGATTAATTAGATATTATTTTTTAAATTAATTATAATTAATTTCAAAATCTAAATAACTTTTTCATGTAAGTTAATCATAAAAAATATTATGGTGTGTGAATTTACCGTTAGTTCAGAGTGATTTCGAGCTAAGAACTGACAAAAACTAAGTTTTGTTTCTTATCTAATGCGCTTGCTAACAAAAATACCGACTCATTTTGAAATTCAATTAGGGAGAATGTAGTGATCACCAGCATATGCTATTGTATTTTTGTCAAACAAAAATAATTTAATCACTAGCCGTCATTTAATGATAACAATGTATTCACTTAGCATTGAAAATCATACATATAAATAAAATAGCAGTGTCCATTTGTAATTTCAAATTATCAGTTTTTCATTAAATGTATATGAAAGCACTTAAAAAAATAATTACTGTCTACTTGTCTGTCAGTCTGTTTAGTCATGCTAATGCTGTGAAACGTCTGGACCGATTTTGACGAGACTTTCACTAGCAGTTAACTAATGTTATAAGGAGTAAGTTAAGCTACTTTTATTTTAGAAAAATATATTATCTGATTATTGGTACATTTCACGAGGACGAAATCTCGGGCTAGTGTTAAAATACATTAAGAGATAAATTAGTATTTAATATTATTCAAAAATAATGTTTTAATATATATACCTAAGATGTTATAAATTGATACTCTACAATTTCACTCCCAACCAAAACATAAGAAATAACTAGAGATACGTGAGTCAGGGGTTGGTACCTACTATGTCTACATGTCCTACCTACTATGTCATAAATTAATTACCTAACAACGAAAAAATCTGTTATCATTATATCACATTACACTTTATCACTAAACTTGAGCCTAAACAATAACAAACCCAGTGAGAATTAATTTCTACCCTATATCTACGAAGACTATATTTGTTGTAGTACATAATAATATCTTATCTGTGATTGTAGTAATAATTTTTGTACTAACATACTAAAGGACATTGGGCAAAATCTGACCCAGTTGACAAAAGTCTTCCTACAAAAATCAAATTATGTGAAATTGTTAAATAAACCAACTATGAATTTTATGTAGTTATTTTTTTTAAACCATGGGAATAAAAATTAAAAGTTGAAATAAATCGGTATTCAGTGGGCATTCATTGAAATTGTATCTAAACATTTAATATATGAAAATGTTTAGATAAAATAATTTCAATGAAGCATTCTGTTAAATAGGGGAAGTTGGTAGTAGTAGGTAAATACTCATAGATATAGCTGAGTAATCCGATTTTACTAATATACTACCTAATAAATACATATTTTATTATTCTATCCTCATCACAATGTTACTCTTAGAGAAGAAAAATTATATATTCTTTTCTAATCTGATATATGAGTATATTCCATGTCAACTATTTTACGCATTACGCATTTCTATTATATTACATTATATTATTGCCTTTCCTTTATTCACTAAACTTTTATAAACTTATATACAACTTATCTAATACTACATACTATATTTATAGACAGAGTATCTACCTATAATATGTACAAATTATACCTATTGTGAGTACCTAATGGACGGACTTCAATACCGATTTGTATTTACTGTAATACTTATAGTATTATTGAAATTAAAGAAATAAAATTTCTATATTCGTTTCACTTTTACCATTTCATACCATGCAGTTCATAATGCCTTTTGTTTATTGTGTTAAATAACTCAGTTATAAAAATATTAAAATTAGTATATTTTGTTCCTCTAATAAGTATTTTCTATATTCTTATTTTGGTCTTATTTGTTTAAGTACTGAGTTTTATTTATCCCATATAATAAAATTTAAAAATAACCATAGTGTACGTATATTTTATTTTTAATTATTACTTGCTATATAAGGTTAATGAAATATTTTAATAATACCGTATAGTTTATAATTCTTATACCTGTATTTACTAAAAAACGCCTTGAGTACGTATTTTCCATACAATATTCTGTCAATTTATATAACTAGTAATTGCGGCACTGATGGGAATTTCTTCTTCTCGGATGAATTCTTATAGTTCATAAGAAATAATTCTTAGTCCGAACTATAGAAGTATGGAGAGACATTCGTAACGTTTATCACATTCTCTTTTCATCGCATATTTGCTTATATATATTAATCCATTATATAAAACCAACATTTCAGCGTCTTTGTTATTACCTACGTTTCACAGGAATCACATATTCAACAGAGCGGCTACTGCCATCTGTTGTTGAGTTGCTAGCAATAATGTAATTACCTCAAACTCTACCAGATAGCGCTATAAATGTTTATTCTATAGGCACATATCACTCTATATAAAATCTCATTTATCCAGGACACACAATGATTTTCCACTCTGGAATTGCTACGCTTTTTCTGGCAAATTTGTAAGAAACCTGACAAGCATAGACCAAGTACCCGGCGAAGTACCTAAAGGTATAAGTATTATTTCATAAAATATCGCTGGATACTATAATAATATGTTATTCGTGCATGTTCTTTTCAGAATTAAACCATTATCAAGACTTTTTAATAAATTTGCTTAACTTATAAAATATTATAGACAATAAAAATCGGATAATATTATTGAGAATGGACATGTTTCTTTCTTATAATAATTTATTAATAACTTACGACCAAAAACTATAAATTGATACAGTTACAATCTCGTAGTTTTAATTACTGAATTAAAACAAAATGTGTTTACTTGCGCCTAGAGTTTGCCTAACTATAACTAGCGTAGGTCACATACAAGTACTTACTTATTTCCATTACTCCGCTCTACCGCCAAAGTTTGCTGCCGTTTCCTTAATTCTATACTCTATAATTTGGGCTTCATTATGTATATTTTAAAAATACATATATTTGAACACAGAACTATCGTAACCAGAGAAAACATAATTGATTAAAATTAAAGTTCTTCACCTATTTTTTATAGTAAAGCCTCAATGAATTGACTTGACTTGGAAAAATAAGTGGACTCTATCAGTAATTCGTTCATAAAGGTACTCAAAATTTGACTGCAAGAATAAATATCGATGTAAAGACACTTTACAGAACTGCTTATTAAATTTTATCGATATATTTATATGTATAACCCTTGATAAAACTGCTTAACATTTACGAGAGTACCCTAATCATTATTGCTGGCGTAGAGTCACTAATAATATAAAATTATTTAACTACCTAAATCAAAGACAAAATTGATTTTAAATTAAGAATCGTAGTCAGTTAAATCTAAGAATATATATATAATATCTATTACATCGATAGTATAGAGCTAGTCTAATAAATGGAAATTCCCGATCGACTAGGAATGTAAAAATTAATTGTTCAAAAGTACTAAGTACATAAGTAATGATTACTTAATGTATTGATCTCTAACAAAAACAATCTAACTAGAAAAAATTATTGCCCATTAGTTTTATAAATCGATTTCTATGAGACATAAGTAGTACACAAAGGTTAATAAAGGGATATAAAGTTATTAAATTGATTTATTCTTGAAACTAAACTATAATAAATTAATGCGATCAAAATAGCAAAATTTTATTTCTTTGAGATAACATTATTTTTTATTTTTAAAAGACGTAGATAAATCTGCAACCTGCCCGGACCCTCACGCCAACGTTAAAAGAAAACATCTGAAAATCAAATATCGAATGCAATCACCTACTTCTCTATTTTAGTCTTATTTCAAAATATAACGTGTAATATCAAATTAAATTTGGAATAATTTCTGTTTCATATTTTATTTTGTTTATAAAATAGAATAGACACTATTCCTTTTTTTTTAATAAGAACTGTCTAGGCAATTTTACTGTAAGAATCAGAATTTTATCCGCTCATTTCGCCGTTAACGTTAATTAAAATATATTCCACTATGAGAGATAAAGTCCTGATTAACTATAATTAAGTTTCAACTTAAGGCAGTTAGGTATTGTTATTTTTAATTACTTCTTATAAGAATTTGTCTACTTAAGTTGTAAATTTAGTAACTTATAGAAATTTTAGCTTATGGTCAGTACACTTGATTACCTACCGACGAATACGCGTAACTAGATAGATACACCATGGTCACTGGCGGTCAAGTGACTATATACATGGTGGTCACGTGATTAGGTGGATATGTGTTGGCAGACGAACGACCCCAGGTCAATATATATAGCGAGCTACTAAATTATATTAGTACCCATTCCTGAAAAATTTGCAAATGCAATTATGACATTACCTCACTAAGTTTAAGACACATTTTGTTCATACAGATTAATAATAACGACATATTGAATGTACAGAGTAGAAAAGAAAAATATAATATTTCGAGAGTTTATATAATGTATATAAGTTTTAATATATAGGTACGCATAGTATAATAATTTAAATTAGAAGCATAAATATTATATAAGTCAACTTGGCTTATCGTTACTTACATATTATACCTATGCAATTTTAAAATGATTTACCATTCTGATTCAGAGTACCTACCCCTCATTACGTACCTATCTATTTAAAAATTTTCTCACTGACAAATCATTGTAAATTATCTTTTAATCGATCAACTCATGATAATTATGTTCCTTAGTTTTAAGTTATGAAAAATATATAAACTACCATTATATAGACGATATTAAATGACTACTATACTAGATTGTCTATAATTTTGGTAGGTATATATTTTGAACTTAGTACTAAAGTAAACAAGTAGCTACATACCTATATAATTATAAACTACAAACACAAATCCTAATACACTTTCATTGCTTAATAAATTCCTATAGGCGCCAAATGTAAGTACTAAACACGTGTACCTACCTATAAAATTTATTATGCCTATTTTATAATATACCTAAATTTAGGCGACTAGGCATTACTAAGTATGTACGTAAACCTACATAAATATCATACCTTCGTACCTACATTACTCTCGAACCATTATATATTCCATTAATTCTCCTGTTTTAATTTCATATACTTAATTAAATAATAATATAATTATGGATGTAATTCATTAGGCGTATTAACATATCATTTAAATATAAAACTTATCCTAAATTATATGTATTTTTATGCGGATTTTAGTATGAATATTTTAGTATGGATTGATACCTTTCAATGTCAACTTCGGCAAGAAAAAGGGAAAATAGATATTCATTATATATTAAAAAATTATAATGCTCTTAATTTTAATAAATAATTGTATTACAGTACATACCTACCTTCTCCTTATTTATTGTCTTCGGTATTATCTCAACGGTATTTCAACATATTGCGCAGTTTCACCAGGTGATGACGCCACCATTTTTAAATTAGGTTTTCGTCTTTGTGTAAATTGAATATTTTGATAACTTCTCCATATTTCCGCCGATTAACCTTTTACTTATTATTGACTGCATTTCTAAAAATGTCTCCTACAAATTTGATCGTTTTAAATAATATACAATTGTACTTTGTAGTTTTAAATGATAAAAATAATAACTTCTAACGAACGTCAAGACTAGTCGGGTGCTGAATTAATGTGGTGCAAGAATACGTGGGGAACCTTTATATAGTCCGTCGCCATCATCGATCTCCGCTGCTATGCAAGCATATTAAAGAGTCACTTAGTAACGGTCAGATGTTATGGATCAAACAGAAATTTTATTTGGCAGTATAACATATTTCTAGACTTTTCCATGGACTAATTTAGATAGAAATATGTGTAAGAAAGAGATGCAAAATATTCTAGAACTGTCTGCGTTTTGGTCTGACATGTTTAGGTATTGATTTTTGGTGACCGAACAATTCTGAAATATACAAATATAATCTTAACATACAAATAACCTGAATATATGGACATCAAAACAAAGTCAATTTAGGGCGAGGGTCTAATAACAAATCAATTCGATTTTAGTTTTATACAGTGAAATAATCATTTAGCATGATTTTTTTTTATTTAAACCCATTTTTTTATGTTTTCTATCGATCCTCGGTGATCAAAACACCGTTAACAAATCAAAATTTCATCCGAAAATCGACGGCACGCTCACCGCTTGCCACGTTTAGCTTAATTATTCTCCCTATATCTAACAGAGGGTCCACGCGGTTTAAACTGAAAATCGGAATACGGTATGACTAAATGATTTTGGATTTTGATTTTCATTTCGCCACGAGGGCCGCACTGACCTGACTTCATCCACATCTCATGATACTCAACTACCGGTATTGTTAGTGATGAGGACTAGTGGTCCCACTGCTACCATCCCAAGTCGATCTCCAAGAGGGGGAAGGGGATTGTTAGTAATGTGGACTGTTCCCATTGCTAGCAATGTACCATGTCAGATCTACCTCCACGCGGATCCCCCTGGAAACCATCGTGATACATTCCGGTGAATTTGTCACGTTGGGCTAACTGACCTGACCTCATATTCATCTTATCATGCTCCACTGGTGCCCCGCCAGCGTAAACCGTTAGAGCAGGCGGGTGCACCATTCCATTATCATACTTTAAAAAAAAAAAGTCGGTCTCCACGTAGCCGCACCTGGATTGTCGGTGATTAATTGGCGGTGAATTCGCCAAGATGGCTTAACTAACTTGACTTCATACGCAGGTATCCTATCATCTACCAGTAAACCCCGCCAGCATAAGAGGATGCACCATTCTATTATCAACCATAAAAGAAATATATAACTAAGTATCTGACCCCGCAAACGTTGTTTTGCATATAAATTAAAACCGCTATTAACGAACGACTTGCCCCCGCCAGTTCGTTCATCACTGATTTTATCCTTACCAATATTTAGGCGCAAATGTAGCAAATGGTTGCTGCAAGAACAATCCCTCGTTTCGTAGTATTGTAATTTACTAAGTTGTGTCGATATATGTGTGTACACGCAAGTCTGCGTCTGATGGTATATATGATAAAATAACCCTGAATAATTCTTAGATTTTATTTAATGTTGTAACTAATCCTGAATAATGTTTAGATTATATATATTTAAGTTTGTTATTGTCAATTTTTATGTTTGTTTTGTTAGTTGTAGTTTAAAACTTAATATGCTATCGTCGTCGTCGATCTAACATTGTATTGTACTGATAAAGGCTATAACAGAATAGCAGAGAGGGTGGACTCACTGCCCTCACTGAGTTATAGACCGTTTTGTCTCATTAATTTGTTTTTAAATTATATTATTGTATGGGCAATAGTTGTATTGTGTAAAAAGTTTCTGTTTGAGACAAATAAAGATTATTATTATTATTATTATTATATTATTATTAAAAAATTGGTCAAGCCTTTTCGGACAAGTATGGTAATTAACATTGTGTAACAACACGCGAATTTTATATATGAGAAGATAATCTGCTACCGAATGTGTTCGAATGTGTCCACTACGACATCGACAAAAGAAGGGGGAAGGGGATGTTAATAATGGGTACTAGTGATCCCATCATTAACAACGCCCCATTAAGGTTGACTTCCACACGGTCCCCCTGGAAATTATCATGGTTAATTTCTGATTAAGTTGTACTTAATGATGGACTAACTGACTCATGACCCCATGTTGATCTTATTCCCCAGTGTATACCGTTAGCGGCGGAGGATGTTTCATTATGATCTATTATAAAACATCGACAATGACTCTGACTACCTGAAAGGACTGCTGTAATGGTATATTATTTCAATGAATAAAATATTGATCACTTTGGATATTTGGATATTTACCAATTGATATTTTTTATAAGGTGAAACCACATATAAAAGTAGATATATTATATTGTGAAACAGATATTGCCTACGTTATAATTCTGTCACCTGCATCGTAACGCGTGAAATTTATTTATTGATTTATATCTAGACTTTTATAAAATTGTGACACTAAGCTGCTTTATTCTGTACACATGGATCTTTGTTGTAACTAAAGTTCTTCTTACTTATGAACACATTGTAAGTAATTGTCTATACAATGTGTTCATAAATAAGAAAAACAAAAAAGTATTTTATTGTTGATCCATCTATGTTTTTTAAATTAGGTAATTATCAGGAATTGATTTTCAGAAATTTTAATAAATTATAACAAACTATAGATATAGGTACCTACTCACTCTAAATAAAATGTAATGACCTACAGGAATACGTTTGCAATTTATTCTATCCATTAAAATAAGGTAGGATACGATAAAATGATTTGTTATATTTGTCAATGTATTCCAAAAAGGTGCAATTAAATTGTATTTTAACTTATTAGCTAACTTCGACCGATTTTGATGATTTCGCAACCGGTAGGGAAAAGCTAAATTTTAATGGAGACTATTTTGATTTGTTTGGATATTTTTATTCTAGTAAATTTAATATGTATATTTCGCTATATACCTAAGTAGTTTCTGTTTATAAATTTTATTTGAAAATCTGTTTATAAATATAAAACTGAAAAAAATTCTAGTCTATTCTGTCACAAAATGTGACAGTCACTGTCATTATTATTTGTTACTTGCTGTCAGTCAGTGTCAGTGAAAGACTGATAGAACTGATAATATATTCTTTAAAACAAATTTGTACTACACGAGTGCTTATATTGTAATCATCTATCGCATCCATCCATCATTCAACTTTCATTTAATTTCATTACGAGCACTGCCTCGACTATTGTAAAACGTAATTGCTGATTATTTCCTCAATGGTCGTGACGCGCGAGGCTCGTGTGATTCGCTATATCGTACAATCAGAATCAGTGTGTGATTGATATTAATACTTAACATTGTACATTTGGTTGTACAGTGTACTACACATCGTTCATTGTAACATAGATGTTCAGTACAAAAGTGTCAATATTACTGTTGTTTTCTTTAGCGACTGTATAGAAATCAATTTAAAGCTTATGTATTAATTATACTCAATTTATAATGGCACCGAACTATAGCAAATTAATTTCAAGGACAGATGTGAGAATTGCTATTGCTGCTTCTACAGCTTTAACAGCCTGGTATGTCAAGAATTACTACAGGCCAGGGTAAGTACCTACTATATTTTTTATAATTTAATCATTTGTGCATATAGAGTACTAGGCAATCTAGAAGCGATGGTGCAATGATTTCATAGGTATAATTCCATTACAATTCAATTCAATCTTCAATTAGAAAATGTATGAAAAATTTATTAATTGTCAAAATTAGTAATGTGTGTTTGTGTATGTATGTATTATTAGTAAGTAGTCTATTGGGATTTTATCACATTACTACTAATTATGTGACAAATTTAACATTTTTAACATATCTATAGCTCTCATTCTAAAAAATGATATTTAAAGTATATTATCATAAAGTATTGTAAGAAAATTTCAAAATAAAAGTAGGAAATTCTTAATTTAACTACATGTTTTGCTTATTCATAATATGCATATTTAAGTCATACAGATAATACAAGTAAAATTTATAGTCATATTATGTAAATGACAAGTTACATTTGAAATAAAATATTTCAATATCTCTTTAACTAGCTTAGAATTAAATTATATATTTATTACTTTAATCACCATACATTACATTATATACATTAATACACATATATGAAAATATTTAGTTCAATTACTTGATTTTTTTCTGTGACAATAAAAATACTTTAAGTAAATGTAAAAGTACTTTCAATGATCAGTACTAATCACACCAGATGCATATTTACATTTTAATATAAATGCTTGCTGAAAATGTAACTTAATATATAATAAATGTATCTTTAGTCAAATACTTATTGTTGCTGACATAAAATTTTATACTTCATATTTACATTGTATTTTCTATTAAGAATTTTATTATATATTTTTGTATGACGAACAGAGTCTAATAAAGAATTTTGACAGACACCAACTTTTATTAATGCTACATATTTACTTCACAGCAAGCGCAGCAGAAGCAAAGATGGTAGACTGAACAAGCTCTCACCAGATCAACAAATACAGTATATGATCAAACAGGAAACAAAAAAGGGACCAAAAGGAAAAGTAGATGCCAGATTTTGGGCAGATCTGAAGGTATTATGGAAAGTTATGTTCCCAGGCCTATGGTCGAAGGAGAGTGGGTTGATGGTGCTGATAGCATTATCTCTTATTTCAAGATCCGTTTGTGATCTGTGGCTTATACAGCATACAACATTAATAGAAGGGTAAGTAATTTAGTAATTTTATAATACACTAAACTAGCAACATGTTGCTGTAGCATATTAGCTCTTATATTGAGGTCAAAAAGTTTATTTATATCTGTCTGTAATGCAAATAAACAACTTACTAATAATAATATCCCTGGACAATTCACGCAGCATCATCTAGTCCCTTACTAATATATATAAATAGATACATATGTGCTAGGAATTAAACCTGCAATTATTATAATGCAAATATAGCAAATGGTGTGCTAAACCACTATCATCATCAAAAGAAATCATGTGTATCTATAAGTTAGTTTATGTTACCCTTACTTTTATATCTAACTGTAAAAATAGAATGAAATAATGGAAGAGAATTTAAATTACTTAATCCTATGATTTGAAGGTTCACTATGTATTGTATGTTAATACATTTGAATTAATGAAATGCTTTGTCATTGATTGTTTAAATTATTAAAATGAAATGGTTTTAAGAAGTCAGATGATATGTAAACATATTACCTAAATATATATATTATATACTAGCTGACCCAACAAACATTGTTTTGATAATAAATTAATAAAAAAAAATAGGTTGATTTAGTAGATTGAAAGTTTTTAGTAGTATGTATTACACTTATAAAAAATTTAAAATCTTTATTACTTTATATAATTTTTTTTCTTTAAAATCTTTATATTTACCTTTTTGTACCACAAAAAAAGATAACAATCTATTTTCCGATCTACAAATTTGTAGACACATATAAAATTTCATTAAAGTCGGTTAAGCTGTTTCATAGAAGTATAGCACCTAACAAAAGAAGAATTTTATACATATTTATAAATATAAATATAATTATCTAGTTAATTACGTTAATAGAATGTACTAAAATACTATATTGTCACTAAAATACAAATTTGTTTGCAGATCCATTATCACAATGAATTTAGTGGACTTCAAGAGACTTTTAGTACAATTTTTCATTGCCATGCCAATGGTAAGTATTCACATTTTTACTATTTTTTATCTGATATGATTTCCACCAATATTATTTTGGCGGTAATTTCGCCATTGTTATGGATTGAGAGACACAGCGGGATTTAGTAGCTGTAGGTTATTCAAATTGCTCTGTAAGGTTTGACAATTTTGTTTGTATTGAAAATGGTATATTATAAATAAAGACAGCATAGCACAGATTTTCATTACCAAGAGCATAGAATTAAGTAATTGGACAATACATTTATGTATTGACATAATTCCCTTAGTGTAAATAGTGAGAACAGATGGTTAAAATCAGTTACTCTTTAAAATATTATATTATTTACACTTAAAATAATAAAGATAAACTAGATACATTAAATATACCAATTAAGTACATATTTAAAGTTTTGATAGTGGTTGTTTTTTTACTACTAATTATAAACAACTTGTATAGTACAATATATATTGGAAATTTTCTTTACATAGTTTGTAAACACATGTTAATGTTGTTTGGGTTAAAGTGTGGAGATAAGTCAGTGAAATTACAGGATGCAACTATAATAAAATATATACATATATATTAATAATAATTTAGTTCTCTGGAATGGCAATGCAAGAGAGGTGTCATGGGGAATTGACTATCTAAGGCACTGTTTATGTACAGCACCATAATATACTTAATAGTTTTAAATAAAATTGATAATTGGTAGAAAGCAAAAGGGTCTAAAAATTTATAATTGGTAAAAATCTAAAATTTAGGAATATACACAGATTCTGTTTATTTTCATTAACATATTAAACATGTTTCAAGTAAACAATTGCTTCTTATTATTTTTTGTTCACAGATATCATTAGTAAATAATGTATTAAAGTGGAGTATCGGAGAAGCCAAATTGAGAATTAGAACCAATTTGACAATGCACATGTATCAAGAGTACTTGAAGTGAGTATTATATGTTTTTGCCTACTTTTCTTACGTAATATTATAAGTTCAGACAGCAATATTTGTATGGTATATATTTATATTTTCAGTTCATAGTAATATTATATATAGATAATAATAATCTCAGGACACACAGCGCCATCCATACCCCAGTTAAGCTAGTTAGAGCTTATGTTATGGATACTAGACAACTGAGACAAATATATAGATGTATATTTTTCCGTATATACATACTATTGTACATAGAAAACATCCAAACCGATACAAATAATCCTACTCATGAATACAATATTAGACCGTGCGCGGGATCGATATTAACGTTTTAGCAGTGTCCGAAAATATTAATTACCTTTCATGCGGAAGATTAAAATAAACAAGTCTAGCCATACATAGAGATGTATGGTACTAAGTACTTTTATATCAAGGAAGGCAGATAGAAACATGATAAAAAAATTACACAGTATTATTTTAGAAATTACTACTCTCAGCGTGCGTTTCTCTTTAATTTATGTTTATCAATTAATAAATGGGTTGTTATGTCACCATTTATTTATGTATTTCTGTTACTTACCTATATGATATAGATAGATAAGGAGTGATACATAATTAGTGTGAACCAAAGTTCAAACCGTTTGCGTACATTGTGTATAAACTATACACTGTAGATATCAGTGGTATACTATGTAAAAGGTCGAGATAACGAACAAATACCTACTTATATATTAAAACAATTATGCCAAAGTCAGTTAGATTAGCAAAAGTTGTAATACCTATATGAATATATATAATCGACGATTATATTTTTAAACTGATATTTCGATTTGTGACATGAATGACGTATCTATATACAAACGAGATATGATCAACCATACAACTGTTTCGAAATTGCTAAACTAATAAGTAATAATTTCTATTTTTTTTTAAACTATGACTCTATCGGAGTTACGATGATTTTGCCAATGTCAAAGATAGAACAGACTGCTTGTATTAGAAAATGTGGGTGCGGAAGTTCCATTTAAAAAAAAATATTCTGCTTTTAAATGAATTATTTTAACTTTAAATTAAAATTGTTAGGTATATTTAGTAACATATAAAAAATAGTAGAATAAAATAGAAAGGAGAACTTCCTTATTTTCAAAGTCGATAACAAATGTAATTGAAAGACGCATCTACTGTACACAGGGAAAGTTGTTTGGCCTCGAAAACTGATGACTACTTGTGGGTATAGTACAAAGTTTACATTCACATAGAAATATTAATATTTTTGTATACCTATTCATACATACATAAGACACTATCATATCGACTTATATTTTGAACGATATTCTTGGATAACCACAATGAATACAATGTCCAAATGTCATTATTACCATTTCTCGTTTTAATTTCGATTGTTATCGGTATTTCCAGCAGCGGAGAGTTAGTCAGAAATATAATTAGCACAGTCTTTTTATAACGGCCAAGTTGGTAATGTATCAATGGAATGTTTTTTGATAACATCATCATCATTTGACTTAATAATTCTTTTTTCGTTTAAATATTCTATTTAGCAATGATTTGCTAATTTGGAAGCTATTAATAAATTATCTTGTGGCAATAAGGAATAGGGTTTCCTTATCGATAGCATGCCTATATAGTTTCCTGTTTTAATTTTCGTTTCATAATAATAATAAACCAGGACAATGGACTAGACTAGTGTAGTCTAGTCCCGAACAAAGCGAAGCCTTTTTGTATTTTTTCAAATGCATACATAATATAGTTAATATATAAAAAATAGATAAATACAAACAATCATACTCATGAATACAAACGTTAGTATCATACGAGAATTTACATTTATTTGAAGTTAGGCAGTCCACTAAATGAATAGACCACCAAGGCCGTCAAAATATGAAAATCATCCTACACATACGATATGATCCTACCCAATGTGATTAATTATATAACACTGTTTATTGTATTTTTGATGTGTGAATATCAAAAATGATGAGGATAGTCAGGTGAATTGAACAGTTAGTCGTGTTTAATTCAACAGGAAATAATCGGTAATAGGTAAGACAGGTACCCACGCAGGTGACTACAAAATAGAGCTAAAAAAGTTTCACTTGTATTCTTAAATAGGTTAAACAATTTTTTTAATAAATGATAATTTCTTTCTGTGCCCAAAGTTTCTGAATCAGACTCCAACGGGCCAGGAGCCCCTAATATTATGCTGTTAGTAGTAATTTTAGCCGTAGATATATTTGTATGGAAATAAACATTTAATTTACTTTCATTTAATCATCATCGCTGTCCGCTTATATTTTATAATTACGTTGCGGATTTTAATGCAGTTTTCAGCAATAAATACATTCAAGAGGAATGTATATATCTATAATACATAGTATAAAACAAGCCGAGAAATTTAAAGATTTGTAATGTATCGTGCGTAGTAGGGACGTAATAAAACATTTCTTTATTCGTATTTATTGTTACAGAGGATTCACATTTTATCAAGTATCCAATTTGGATAATCGGATAGCAAACGCAGATCAAGTTCTGACTACAGATATCGAGAAATTCTGCGACACAGTTATAGATCTGTACAGCAATATTAGCAAACCTTTGTTGGATATTGGCATATATTTATACAGATTGACTACGAACCTTGGACCCACTGTAAGTACATAACCATTCTAACTATGCATATTATATATATATATATATATATTAATTATCATACATTTAAAAAAATATGACCTAACGCTTGTGTCAGTATATAGAATATTTAAGAAATTAAAGCGAGCGAGTCTTATTATAAGAAATAAATTAGCATTTTTTGGCTTAGGGTCAATTTTCAGTGTGTATTGTCAGATTTGTTTAAGGAAGGAAAATATGAAAATTACATTTTTAGATATAAATAACATTTGATTAAAGTAAAGAAACTTCCAAGTATTTTTAACATTTAACTTTTAGTATAAAATTATTATTATTGTAACCCGGAATATTTGAAAAAACTAGTGTTAATATATTCTCATATAAACCATTACCTTATAAAAATGCATATTAAGTACGAAGTGTTTAAGTAATTATACCATAAAAATCAATATTTGTACGTGTATAGTGATTCTTCGAATATGAAGGACACGCGACTTACTACCTCTATTTCTACTTCTACACGTTTACTTAGTACACTGGTTCTAAGTATGTTTTGCTTACAACAAAAATCAACTATAACGGCCCGTTAAGAAAAGTAATAACAACTGAGAATGAAGAAAGAAATAATCATCAAAATCTACACATAATTGCCAAGTTCCTTAAAATATCGCTTTCAGATATGACATATTATGACATTTTATTTGGATAGTCAACTCATGAGTATCACGGGTGTAACATGATACCGTGATGCCCCTAGGGACGTACTATGGCATGAACAGCACTAGTGCTGTTCGTGTCGTCCGCTTGTTTGTCTTTCTAATTGCATAAAAAACGGGTTTAAAATTTACAAGCTAGTATGTCATCTAATTATTAGTTAATATAAAGATTCTAATTATATTGTAATGACTAACAAAGCCTATTAATTTAAATTAGATATATTTTCGATGTATAAAAGTCTCTTCAAGCAGTCTATTCATAAAATCAATTCAATTGGTCGACTGACATTGGAATTGTGACGTTGGACACCTTTTCATACTCTTGAATTGCATATTTATTAGCTCAATACTACGGGGTCAACGAATGAATTATTGTAAACGATAGTCAGTACCGAAGCAACGACTATAAAGTTGTTACAGAGTCCTCCCTCACTTGTTATTACGTTTCTAATGGTCAGTTGAGATTTTGGAAGCCCATTCCTTCCTCTAAATTGCCGGCCGCGGTGGTCTAGCGGCACACCGCTTCACTTACAATAGTCGCGGGTTCGATTCCTCGCACGGTGCAGACATTTGTATTTCTGAGTATTGTTTGTATCGGTCTAGGTGTTTTCTATGTATATATTGTACGTAGTTATAAAAAAATACATCTAAGTGTTTATATCAGTTGTCTAGTACCCATAACACAAGCTCTGTTTACCTAGACTAGACTAGAGGTAGGAGAAGGAATTCTTAACGTATCATCTAATATTTTGTAGATAACAGATATCATGTCTATATCCACGTAATACATTATCTTAACGTTAAATTTGAATATGGTCAGCTGTCTAGTAGTGAACAGCTAACAGGCAGACACCCTTATCATAAAAAAAAAAAAATAGATATTTGCCTGGTGCTATTTTACTTATGAACATTTTCAAGTCTATAGTACTTATCATATCTCGCGTAATAAAAGTTCATGTAGATACACTGATAATATTTAATCAATTAAATTTTCATATCTTAAAACATACCTATTTATATACAATCAGTGAAATTGATATTTTAAAAAGATATAAAATAAACTGATACTTAGTTGAATTTTATTACAATATAAAGTTTAAAATTATTTTCAAGGTATACTTATATACTTTCTGCTATATAAAAAATAATTATATGTCTAGTTATTGATAATAAATTATAAATCTTAAACATGTATTGGGAAAATAAAATAAATTTTAAAAGATCTTAAACAATCCTTATAATTTTTTTTGTGTATATTCAGTAAGTTTGAGAACAGGACGTAAACTATTTTTCATATAGCGGAGATTCTAATAAGGGTTAATCCATCCATCCATCCAGGGTCCATTTAAAAAAAATATATAAATTATAAATTGTACGTATAATACTAAATTTTAACCCTTATTCCGTAAATCTGTATTTTTAATAGCAATATTAGTATTTAATCATTTTCTGTTCTCGGCGGTCGATAACTGATTTTTTATATGGCAAAACAACGTTTGCTGGATGAGCTAATATTATTACAAATTGTTCTTATACAGGACAATAATGACGTTGTTAATATATTTAAATAATTTTTTTTACTGTCTTTCTTTACACTCATTCTTTTACTTTCACTCTTTTACTCTTTTAACATTTTTTACTTTCACTCTGTTACTCTCATTCTTTTATCTCTTTTTTTTACTATATTTAATTATATGGTATTGTATCTAATATTACAATAGCAACAGCTGATTATCAGTAGCTATACATATATTCGTGTATCGAAACTTATCATAGTTAATTGAAACACTGATTAAACGTAATAATGATAGTACGAATTCCAGTCCGAAAAAACCGACTTGATACCTTAACGATTTATACATCGGCAAGTAAATTTATACTAATAAATACCTACACAGAATTAGGGATAATTAAAAAACGATTGATCTATGACATTGATTCTTCTCGAATTAGTTGTCAAATAAAAAAGTAATCATCAAATTCAGTTTATCTAGCAAAAGTCCTGCGGTATCATAACTCAAATTCAAAATATATTTATTCATGTAGGTCCATTACAGACTCTTAGGACAAATCTAATTATTATTAATTTATGGTGTATATATATATATATATATGAGGTAGTGTAATAATCACACTATTACTTAAAAACATAAAAAGATACAGTCGAATTGAGAACCTCATTTTTTGATGTCGGTAAAAAAGTAGGTACTACATCATCCGTTGGTTAGCTGATATGAAGATATTCCACGTGTTAAAAAAGTATTACATGTCAACCATTCGTTAGCATTAGCCACAAGGTTTTTAAGTACCATAAACCAAAGGCTGACATGAACCCCATGAAATTGTAAAGATATTTGAAGCCAACAGTTTTAGAATGGTAAAAATAAAAGTAAACCTGATAACTTTACTAAAACACTACTGATACCCGCGACGCTATATTATTTTTATTTAGATTCGTCTCTGATTTGTATGATATGAAAGATGGCATATATCCATTACAGTGTTACAATTGATCTTAATGTATGAGACATTAAGATCAATTGTACAAATAATTCATAACATACAGACAGAGACACTTACGCGTTTATAACAGTGTGAATCTATTAAAATTTCAAATCCTACGGATTTTCCTTTCATGATGATTGTTTTAACTGATAAGGGTAAAAGGTAAATAACGTTTATCGCGTTAATAAAGCTTAATCTATTAGTACTATAATTGTAATATTTATTTATTTATCAAGGTCGATGCACAGTGACACGAATTGGTTGCTAGTGGGAATAAATTAGTGGGTTTAATATTTTACTAGCCGTGCCCGCGGTTTCACCCGCCTGATATTTATAGTTTATTCGTTATTCTGATGTATAAGTTATATTACTGTAAAGTTTTATCAAATTCTGTTCAGTAGTTTTTGCGTGAAAGAGTAGGAAACTCTCAACCATTCATCCATTCTCACAAACTTTCGCGTTTAAAATACTAGGAAAGCATTAATTCATCTCCATCAATAAAAAAGTCTTGCGTTTCGTTTTTGTATAATTAACATTAACACATATCACATTTGTGACTCTGCTTAGGGAACATCACATATTTTACATCTAGAAATTATAAAACTTCATTTAAAATATGTATTAAGAATGTAGATTCTCAAATGTCACGTTACATATTATGACTTCCTTCCCTTATCAAACTGTGACAACTCCCTTCACACGCCCTAAATGTGTGACATAATTTATTAATAAAAAAAATAAGTACTATTGTATCTAATTTCCAAATCTGATCTGATTATAACTTATTGATTACAGTAGTTCACTTATTGAGCTTTTTTTAATTAATTGTAACATTATATATATAGGTATTATTAGGTATACATAATATTATCAAGTTAGCGAGACATTATTATCTTCGTGATTTAATCATTTGTCATTTTATTTAATTATCTTGTATTGCACAACTCATAATAATGAGTAAGAATTTTTATGCAATTAGTGAATTGGTTGATAGTTACATAATTTCCAACAATATAATACACATTTCTATATCTATATTAAAAATATGACTGACCGTTGTCTATACATTAAAGATATAAGACAAAGCCTAACCTATTATTGGAAGATTATAATAACGTAGTAGAATCTTTTTCTGTGAGTTTGTCTCATAAATGGTTTAACCGATTTCAGTGCAACATTCACTGGTATAAGCTGGACTACAAATTTAGTGTTATTGTATACACATCCGTTTACAAAGAAAGTTATACCGGTACATATAACTTTTTTGTATTTCTATTCTCTAACAAGATGACACGGCGAACACGATATTACCTGCAATATGGTACTCGTATTACAAAAAATATATTATTACTTTAATTTTTATTATGTAATAATAATGGTCTATTGTCTACGATTACACTTTTATACATAGTTAAAGGAATTTGATTTGAATGTAGTGTATTACAGTGCAATTTTCTTTTTCAGACCCCTGGTATAATGGTTGCATACTTGGTAGTTTCTGGAATCTTCTTAACCGCCCTCAGAAAGCCAACAGGTATTGTATTCAAAATCAAAATTAAAAATTATTTATTAATGTAGAACATATTAGCCACCATGAACGTAATTTTTTCGTATTTTTTATTTATTAATTAAAACTTTAATGCACAAGTACAAAAAATAAAGGTGCAAATGGCGGACTTATATTTTTTCCATACAGTATATTTATATATATTTTATTATTAAATATCTATGTATACAATGAAATATTACTATGTTATTTTGGTGCTATATTGAATTCGTGTGTTAAACTGCTATATGAATAATACTTACTCATACATTGACATTTATTAACAATTAAATTTGTAATTTTTCAGTTAATAAAGTATATTATTTCTCTTCCAGCGAAAATGACGGTCCAGGAACAGAAGTTGGAAGGAGAATTCAGATATGTAAACTCAAGGCTAATCACTAATTCGGAGGAAATCGCCTTCTATCAGGTTAGTTAGTCTAGATGTAGTAGAGTTAGTCGACCTAGAGTGCTAACGCAATCCCGTCACTACACGGAAGGTACTCCGTGAAGTTTTTAGAGTGTAAAAATACCACAGTGGATCCAATTCCCAAACTTCCGTGTCAAAAAGATAAAATATAATAATAATAATCTTTATTTAAAATTAACATTACTATAACCATTGTTTACAGTGAAAACATATTAAATATAAACAAATGAAACATGAAAATATATGTAAAAATCTCGAATAATGTTACAAATTTACTACAGACTTGATACCATCTTTACTAATTAAAGATGGTATCACGTCTGTTACACATATTATATTATACTCGTTTTGATATTTTCCATAGTTATATGATAGCTTTCAAAATTATGGGAGAAGGAATGTTTTCTTAGGAACTTCTTTAATAGGATAATATCGGATGAATTTTATATAAAGTCGTTGTTTTTTGTAGGGTAATAACAGAGAGCAGCTGACTCTCCTCGCCAGCTTCTACAAGTTAACGCGCCATCTGAGGAACTTCCTCAACTTTAGAGTGGCCATGGGATTCATTGACAACATTGTCGCTAAATGTAAGTCCTTTTTTTATTAATGCTGTGCCCGCGTAAAATAGTGACATTAACCAAATAATGAAGTATATTTAATAATCTAGCCCAATAAAAGCCAAATAAAGTAGTTTTGGCGTGTAAGCGATATAGACGGACAGAGTTACTTTCACATTTAAATTATTAGTAAGGTAAGTAAGGTATTTAAAAAACTAACCCAAAAAAGCCAAAGTAAAAAAATTCCATCGTTCTAACTTCAAAAATAACGAATTTTCATATAAACGCTCATCCCTTTTTTTATTTTACCCCTTTAAGGATAATTTTTTTTGCAAGCTTTAAATATCATATTTATTAGTTTTTAATCAACAATCTGAAATATACGTTTCTCTAGCTTTAAAAATGACGATTCTTCCATTCAACCATTCATCTCCCCGTTCTATCCCTTACAACCCTTTTTTCGCATTAAAAAGTAATCTATGGCCTTTCTCAGGGTCTATATTATGTGTATACCAAATTCATTTAAATTGGTTCAGTAGTTTTGACGTGAAAGCGAGACAGACAGATAGAGTTACTTTCACATTTATAATATTAGTAAGGAATAGGAATAGGAATGGTACTCCTTCTTAAAAAATTATACACGTTGGCGGGGCACACGTGGAAAACATAAAGAGAATGAACTCAATTCTGGAAAACTAGAGTGGTAAATTCGCCATGGTTAGGTATAATGGCGAATTTACCACTCTGTTTTCCAGGGTAGCTCGAGTGGTAGTCTACTTGATAAGTCCATTTGTAGCAATCACGTGACTAATCAAGATGGAAGAAAAGTCTTACTTGCTACATGTACAATAATGGCTTTTTTATGTAATTATAACGGCAAACAATCTTATGGGCCACCACATATTATGTTATTATAACACTCTTTCCAAAGTATTATGATTCCAAAAGATGACATGACTCTTATCCAGTAATTATTCTGCCTACCCGCAGCCTATAACCAAAACAGCTTACAAATCAAGCTGCTTGGCGGCTGAAATAGGTGAGACCTCTTACAGTCTACCTCTGTTAAAGCCTGTACGATATTTACCGGAGATTTATCAATATTTTAACTTCATGTACCGATTGTTCACAGACGTGGCTATCACTGTCGGCTTCTTCGCTGTGTCGAGGCCGTTCTTCGCCGTGGATCACAACCTTCTCACAAAGGGATCGGAGAATGACAGGTTTAAGGTCAGTATTTCTTCTTTTGTTCAACCTTATATAATAAGTATTTTATATTTTTTCACGGCTGCTCTGGTCCAGCAGTTTGGCACACCGCTTTACTTCCGATGGTCGCCGGTTCGATTCCTCGCACGGTACAAACATTTGTATTAATGAGTATAATTATTTGTTGTGGTCTACGTGTTTTCTATGTATGTATATATTTACAAAAAAAATCTAAGTATCAGTTGTCTAGTACCTATAACACAAACTCTGCTTACCATGGAACTAAACGGCGCAGTGTTAATTGTCCAGGGTTATTTATTTATTATATATTTGTTGTTTGTTGTGTGTTAAGTATTTAATTACTATACCTTCTCGACTTTCATTCAATAGCTTTCTTGACACGACTATCTTTCATATGCGCATAGGAGACTATAATGAGGTCAGGTCAGTTAGCCCATCGTGGCAAATTTAACAGAAGTTTATCATTACGGTTACCATGGATGGATGAGTAACTGACGTTGCTAGCAACGGGGTTATTTGTTCACATTACTAGCAATCCCCTTTGTCCTATCTTTATCCTATAATCCTACACTAGTACCTCCCCATAGGCGGGTCCATAATTTCATAGTTATTTATTAAAAAACCTGTTGCGGTGGAAAGATTATTAGGAATGTAGACTCGTTATCCTATAGCTAGCAATTTATTCTACCAGGGCTAACAACTTGAGGTCATGGACCTCCCTATTATTCCTATTGTAATTCATCTGAACAACTTTGTAACAGTTGTTATCTCAGTATTTCATGTCGAATTTTATTTTCGCAAATATTAAAATATATTAGATTGAAAAGCACCAAAAAAGTGTAGACGTGACGTAAAGTGTAGCTATTGTGTTAAAATTGTGTTAGTAAAGGAATTTTAAAAGACGTTACTTTACTTTGGTTTACTTTAAATGTATTAATAATAATTACAACGTTATTAATAAATCTCGATCTGTCAGTCGGGCGGCCTTGGTAGTTGTTTGTTTTGGTCTGGTTGTTTTCTAATAGAATTTTTTTTTCGTAAATACCTATACATATGTATTTACGAAAAAAATCTATGTATTAGTATCAGTTATCTAGTTCCCATAACACAAGGTTTAGCTACATTAACTTAGGTCTAGTTGGCGCTGTATGAATTTTCCTGAAAAAAAAATTCTGAATTTCCGTATGAAGTCGAAATTTCTCGCGAAAGACGAAAACACGAAAACAAACATCCGTATGAATAAGATCGAAAGACAAATCGTCTTTCGCGGCGATTTCAAAGTTCATTAAATTACCGTACATTGTTATAAAATTTTGTGTAAAACTGTCGTAATATTTTTTAATTTTAACAATATGAATTCTCTCAACAGCATTACTACACGTATGGACGTATGATGGTTAAAATGGCCGAAGGTATTGGCCGGTTAGTGCTGTCCGGACGAGAGATGAACAAGTTGGCCGGCTTGACGGCGCGCGTCACGCAACTACGCACCGTGCTCGAGGATATCCAGCGTGGAAAGTACACACGCACTATGGTCGATAAGAACGGACAGAACGCCAACGGTAATATATTATTTATTTATATATCCTATATGGAAGATTGTGTAGAGTGGCATGAACAGCACCGACAAGAGCGTAGCTCTTAAATTATGAATGATTGAATGAATCCTTTTTGATGCGTATACTAATATAAACCTTTTTAATATTAATAAAATGTATTTGTGTTTTCTTCTAAAGAAAATATATTCATTTGTTTTTGACATTCTGACAGCGAGTAATAAATGAGCTAAATAATAAGTCGGACGTTTAATTCATATATATTAATATCCTATATGGAAGATTGTGTAAAGTGGCATCGCGACAAGAGCGTAGCTCTTAAATTATGAATGATTGAATGAATACTTTTTCTATCTGACTATATATTTGTATGAGTATGATAGTTTGTATTGCTCTGGGTGTATTCTATGTATTTTATATATGTATTTACAAAAATCTTAGTATTTATGTAAGGTGTCTAGTACCCAAACACAAGCTCTGCTTACCTTGGGACTTGCCTACTTAATTCATAATAAATAATTATAATAATAATAAATACATGTACCTACCTATCATGTAAATTAAAATTACATAAAGTACACTCACACTGCACTAACTTGGTTCTTGCCCTTAACTGACTTATTATTATTAATAAACAATTTTATTTGGGTAAATTTGTTTATAATATATCGTACTGTGTAGTAGAAGAGTGTTAACCATCTTAATATTATTATTTTATTTGTCAAACATTTTAGCACTTTTCATTATGTACCTATATTTACTTTTATATAACGTTTAGCAGCAATCAGTAAGCATTCACACTTAATATATTTTCAAAAATTGATGACGTGAGTATGTAACTTTTCAAGAAGGTTATATTAAGGTTTCTTAAGGGTTGGCAACGCGCACGTGAGACCCCTGGTATTTCAGACGTCCTTAGACTACGGTAACCATTTACCATCATATGGGCCGTATGCTTGATTGCCACCATTGTAGTATAAAAAAAGCTTCTAAAACAGTGTTTCCCAACATTTTTAGTGGCATGTCTAAAATTATCACGATGGTTCTCAAAGGGAAGCCACGTGGAGATCAATCTGACATGGTACATTGCTACTACTACTAACAATCCCGTTCTTCCCTAACTAATGGAACATTTCTGATGCGCTAGATTTTTGGTATGAAACCTGACCTGATAGAGATAGTTCTTATTCTTCTTACCTACAATTTGTTAAATTATAATATTCGGTTAACTAAATTTTCTTTTTTTGTATGCATTTCATTTACGTCATTTTTCAATATATGTCTATTATTACAAAAATGTAATACATAACACATTCTAATTAATAAAATAGAGACAGTATGACAACAGAAATACATTCATTCATATAGTATATTAGCAATTAAATAATTTTCCATTGAAGGCACATTAGTCATTATGCCTATAGTATTAAAGTTATTATTATATCATACAACAATATTATGTGAACATTATTGACATGCTGTCAATAATGTTGTAAGCCGTAGATTGAGAAATTTGTACTCGTCGTCTTTGGTGTATTTGTTTATTCGTTAATTTATTTGAACGTCTACATTACGAAGGCACTGATCTTTGAACGTAATTGGGCGCCTACCGGAATAAAACTTCCTTATTTATTATTAAAACTAATTATTCGTTTAAAACATGCTAAGTGTATGTAAAATGCCATTATTACGCAAATTAGAATTGAATTTAACGAACATCATAATAATTTGAAAATGGAAAGGTATAATAAATATGTCCTTATATTTTTTATTATTTATTTTATTTATATTATTTGATTTGTACTTCCTAAATTTACATTGTTCGTTATTCTGTTTGCCACAACATTAAGTTTTCGGAAACTTAGCTAAAGAAAAAACTACTTAGTATTATTAATGGCTTTCTCTAGAAATGTACTGTTAATTTAATGTATTGGATTGTAAGCTGTTGGTTTTCTTATAAATAAATAAGATAATGACTGGAATCCATACAAAACAACTTTACCAAAATTGTACTAAAGTTGTACGATTTATATAACGCGTTTAATTCAAATTCAAATTCTTTATTTGTGAAGTACAGGTTACAAAGGTCTTAAGAAATAGATAAAAATTTCACTGTCTTCTCAATTATGCGTACAAATTTTCGTCATCCAGAAATTCATTTATGCTATAATAATTCTTGTCTAATAATAATATTTTTTTAATTTTCTAAATTAAAGAAATATTTTTTTTCTAATAAATAATTCTTTAATGACGAACAGGTCCACCAGCGTTGATGGCTCCTGGCGCGGGCCGCATCATCTACCAGGACAAGATCATCAAGTTTGACAAAGTGCCGTTGGTCACGCCCAACGGTGACGTCCTCATTAAGGAGCTCACCTTTGAAGTCAAGTTAGTAAGCCACAGATTATTTTTTATTTTACTAATATACATATATTAGGATATCATACTAATGTTATAAACGATAGTTTGTGAGGCGTTAATATAATAACCGTTGTTATATAAGTTAAGCGAAATAATATAAGCGATTATTTTAATTTTTCGTAATAATGGTACCACGCGGAGGCACGCGAAACATAGTTAGTTAATTATGCTTTCGCTTATGGTACCATTCCTGAAATGTAGAATAAATGTACTCTATAGGATGGAACATTAAAATCACCGCATTTTCGAATGTAATATTAATTCCAGCACGCATTACTCAATGCAACGCCATTACGTCACCGCGGTTGTATGGGCCGACTACAATATTGTGTAGAAATACTTTTATTATACATATATAGTACTATATGTACTAATTATTTTACTATATATGTGTATAACAAAAATTAACTGCCTATAAAAAATATACATCAAGTGCGTCGCCTACACGTTCTATATTTTTTTGTATTTTTTTTTATACCACGTAGGTGGCAAAAGCATACGACCCATCTGATGGTAAACGGTTACCGTAGCCAAGGACGCCTGAAACACCAGGGGTGTCACATGCGCGTTGCCGACCCTTAAGAAACCTTAATGTACTCTTCTTAAAAAACCCCATGCTGTAGTCTCGTGACAAAACCTCGACAGGAAGTTCGTTCCACAAAGTGTATGCGGGAGAAAGCTCCTCTGAAACCACATTGTCAGAGACCATTTCCAGCGTGTGGGGATCAATTCCCTGTCGATGACGAGCGGTGCGATGGTAAAAGGTAGCCGTAGGCATATATATACTATATATACTCTTTACCATAGAACTCATCTTCCAACGATTGTTTGAAACAGATTGCATTAACGATAAAGCGCCTATATTTATCTTTATTTATAAATAAAGATAAATATATGTATATTCAATTATGTCTACACAATTCATCTCTATTAATGAATAACACCAAACATATGTAAAACTACTCGTTATCAATACTATAGAAGTAAAACATTTGTAAATTGGCAGTATTGAGACCTAAGCCCTTGAATGGAGTAGTGACGTCAAGAAATGCGTGTTTACTAATTATCGATAATTTGTCTATGGCCTTGTATGATTCAGTGATAAGATAGACGTTGAACCGTAGAACTGTGTTAACAGGAACTTTAGACATGACTTATATTTCCTTAGAAATCATGTTCGTTTTACATCAATCAACAAGGAAACATATCATAGAAACAAATTTTTTTTTACGCAAAAGTACTGTTATGTATAAATATCACAATATAATTTTACTCATAGTATATAACTGATAGGTAAATTAATAACATTTTTAGTTAATACAATACACGTAGAAAACCACTTCATAGTAAAAGTACATATGTAGTGTCCCTATGAATGATTATTTTTGTTAATGTTTCTCAATACACAAGCTATTTATTTAGAGACGTGGTCGCTAACTATGGGTCCCATCAACAAGCTCAGAGTCACTCAGAGGGCAATGGAGAGGGCTATGCTCTATTTTGACATCCCTTCAATGAAGAGTTTCTCTGCGTGATCGAATCAGAAATGAGGAGATCCGCAGAAGAACCAGAGTGACCGACATAGCCCGAAGAATTGCGACTTTGAAGTGGCAATGGGCAGGGCACATAGCTCGTAGGACAGATGGCCGTTGGGGCAGTAAAGTCCTCGAGTGGCGACCACGGACCGGAAGACGCAGCGTGGGAAGGCCTCCAGCAAGGTGGACCGACGATCTGGTCAAGATCGCGGGAAGGCATTGGATGCGAGCAGCGCAGGACCGATCGTCGTGGAGATCTTTGGGGGAGGCCTATGTCCAGCAGTGGACGTCTTCCGGGCTGCGATGATGATGATGATGATGACACAAGCTATTTTATTAATTTGTTATTATTGCAATAAAAGATGGCGTCTTTTATATATATGCTTTATTATTCTTGTTCTTGTTTGATTATCATCAATATATAGACTTTGTTACAAGGACTTACGATATGACATATTTGGTGAGGCCATGCCTTAGGTATCTAAATCAATAATAAAACTTTAAATATTAAAATAATTCATTTGCTCAATAGCGCAGTAAAAAAAGTAATTAATGAATACATGTTCAGAGAAGACAATGGCATGCAATTACACAATAATGTCTGGGAGTATTTTAAATCACTTAATTAATATAATGATCATGTATTTACAAAGTAGCATGTATATTATATATTATATGCCTGTATACTCTTATGCTCATTTTTGAGCAGTTTAATTGTTAAGAAAACTATTTAATTGTAGTGTCTCAACAAATTTCACGCAAATGTACTTTTTATATATATAAACTTCTCGTGTTGCGGTGTTTGTTATCAAACTTCTCCGAAAAAGCTTTACCGATTTTTATGAAATTTTGTTTGCATATATCTATATATAGGTCTGAGCATCGGCCGACATCTATTTTGCATACCCTTCAATGAAGAGCGTGACGTATCATAAAAATTTTCTTTTCTGCACAAAAAAAAAATAATTTAGCATTAAAAATACGACATAAAATTTTCGCCATTTTACTACCAACTCCTGTTTTTGTAGCGATACTAGTAGTAATAGTACTTCAATTTATTTACATACATACACGTTACATCTGACCCAACGTTAGCTAGTTTTTCTATATTATTGATTTTAAACCAAAAGCTTTAAAATTACAGTATTATTTTGGACAATAATGGAGCTAACCTATTGTTAGCTCCATTAATATGGTCAATATCATATATCATGATATACATCATAATTGGCATACACATTATTTTGGTTTACACAGAAATAAATACAGACCTTCACAAACAAACATTTCGTCAACCCCTTGAGCATCTATGCAGCCCCAGATCATTACACTGCCTTTTCCGTGCTTTACCGTCGGTACAACGCAATGTGAATGGTATTCTTCGCCCACACGTCGCCTCACAAAGGTCGCCCCTGGCGTTCCAAATATCTGTTGAAAAAAGAAAATATAAAGTTTTTTTAAACTACGAAGATTCCGTGCCGTCCAAAGGTATTTAATAGAGGGGAAGGACCTAACTTTTATTATTTCAGTAAAATAAATAGCTGACCATGATTATTAATAACAAAAGCAGTAAAATTTACTTACTTCAAAGTTAGATTCGTCAGACCACACCACATTGGCCCAATCTTCCTCACTAAAATGTCAACCGTAGAGCCAATACAAGCCGTTTTCTTTTGTTAGCTTCTGAAAGCCAGAGCTTCTTCCTGGCTTTGTATCCTTTTAAGCCCTTTTCTTGAAGTCATCTTCTGGTGGTCCGAGCACCCATTGGCTTTCCAGCCTCTTTGGACAAAGCAGCAGCAAGGTTTGATGATATTTTCTTCCGATCTTTCATAGATTCGCGTATTAATTTTCTATCCTCGCGCTTCGAAGTCACACGTTTTCTGCCTGTTCTTGGATTATTAGTATGACTGCCAGCCTGAGCAAACCGTTTGATGGCAAACTGCATGGCGCAACGCGAACATTTCACTAACTTAGTAATTTCTTTTTGCGACATCCCCTGTTCATGGAGAAGTTATATTTTTACTCGATTTTCCAAACAAATTTCACTTATTTTCTGTATTTTTAAGTAAATTAGGCGTCAATTTAATCACAATGAGTTAGAAATAAAAACTTGTTTACTCGTTAGAGTCTTGAATACAAGTGACCAAACATTGACTAATAAATAACGCAAAAAACCGAATCCTTTCTTTTCAGTCACCAGGTCTTTTAAGACCATAAAAAACAGATGTTTGCTTTTATAGGAAAGTATTTGTGACCCCGGTATGCCATCTAAGATAAGCATTTATTCATTGTTTAATTGGTAAACATGAATTATGCATTTTTCTGGGGTGCCTAATACTATTGGCCAAGGTTGTATATACATAAACTAAAATTTATTCCAAAAATTATTAGTGTCCAAAAACGAAATTTTCATATAATTTGCATGTCTATTATGGTAAATATTGCTAATCAATAATATTTAAATGTAACATTTTATCTACTTACTGTACCAATATTTCGTAAATTAATTATTTTATTTTATTTCAATGTAATCATTCTCATGTGTACTATATATGTCGGGGTCGGTGCCATGCGTTTTAAATACCCAATTAGTCATTATATTTGTATTCAATACTCCTCTTTTACAAAATATACATTATTTCTTCCAGCTCATACATGTTTCCAATAATTTATGAAAGAACACAAACCATTTGACCTCATCTATTGTTATTGACACTGAATAAGATTCTGTATTGAGATTCATTGTCAATTAGGGTTGCCAACTGTCTGAGGACTTTCAAACACCAGATTTTTTTCTTTAGTCATGATATAAGAGATGATATCTTACAATTGTTGAGTTTTCGTACTAAATAACAATAATAATCCCCCTGGACAATGTACACAACGCAATCTAGTTTCAAGATAGGCAGAGCTTTTGTTACGGATACTAGGCAACTAATATATTACTCAGATATTATTTTTGGAAATACTTTACATTGTGACAAGTATAGCTTGACACCATTTTCTATACGTAAGAAATACTGTAAACTAATCATAATAGGATAATATCATAGCACATATATATTATGTATTGCCCAGAGACATTAATATAATGGGCAATACACACAGCGCCATCTGGTCACAAGCTAAGCAGAGCTTGTGTTAGGGATACTAGACAACTGATATACCATATATATTTAGATATATTTTTTTGTAAATTATGTATATAATATACATACAAAGCAAGATCAATACAAACTATCATACTCGTGAATACAAATGTACAAGGTAATCCTTTCAAATAATGATCTCCTAAACCCTTTCCAATCCGGTTTTCGTCCAGGTCATAGCACGACAACTGCCCTAATAAAAATCACGGACGATATTCGCTATGGGATGGAGAATTCTCAGCTCACTGTCCTTACATTACTCGATCTGAGTAATGCTTTTAATACAGTTGACTTTGATATCCTGTTACAACGTATGCGATCTCTTAACATATCTCCAATCGTAACTGACTGGTTTCAAACTTACCTGTATGGTCGCCGGCAACGTATACGTATAGACAATAATTTGTCTTCATGGTGCCATACCTCTGCCGGCGTTCCTCAGGGTGGCGTCTTATCACCTCTTCTTTTCTCATTATTTATTAACTCCATTACTCTTGAACTTCATTCCTCCTACCACCTCTATGCAGACGACCTACAAATATATTCACAAGCGTCTTTAGAGAGCATCAGCTCTGCTATAAATATAATAAATAAAGACTTAGTGAGAATATCAAGTTGGTGCCAATCTTTTGGATTGATTGTTAATCCCTCAAAAACCCAGGCCATTATCATCGGTAGCCCTCACTATGTCTCTAGGTTAAATTGGAGTTCTATTCCTCGCATTGTTTTTAACGGAGAACCTATAGACTATAGCGAAAATGTTAAGAACTTGGGGATTCAATTTGACCAAACACTTTGTTGGACGTCTCAAATTACTGAGCTCAGAAAAAAGATTTTTGCTGTAGCGCACTACTAATTCACATGGAGAACTACTTTTTGACCATATGATAAATAATGATTACAACGTAGTGGGTTCACTGAAGCGGTTACGTAATTTCTTACCGTTTAGCACCAAAATTACGCTAGCACACACCTTGTTCCTTCCTATCCTGGATTACGCAGATACGTGTTATTTGAACCTCACCGATAGCCAATTAAACAAGCTTGAGCGCCTTCAAAATATATGCATTAGGTTTATATTTGGATTACGTAAATATGACCACGTATCTCATTTTCGTTCTCAGCTCAAGTGGCTCCCGATTCGTCTTCGTCGTGACTGGCACATTCTCTGTTTACTCTACTCTATCCTATTTAATCCTGTTACTCCGCCTTATCTTAAAGAACGTTTTTTATTTCTCGGTGAGGTGCAGAACTGTGGTTTGCGCAGTGCAAATAACCTTCGGCTGAAGACTCCTACTCATACATCTAGCTACTACACAAAATCCTTCACTGTACAGGCGGTGCGTTTGTGGAACTCGCTGCCGCCCTACATACGTAATGCTCAGTCCCCAGCCATTTTTAAACATCTAGTCAAATTTTCTCTCTTTGTAAATATGTTTCCTTCTTCTACACTGTTACCTGTGACTTTTTAACTAGTATGATATTTTTTTTTTTTTCTGGTTTATATGTGTAATATTTGATTATGTATAATTATTTGATGTATACTATATTATTATATTATATTATTGTGTATTCGTATGTATGTATATATATGTAAATTTGTGTATGTACTATATTTTATTTTGTTTACATAAGTGTATACAATTTTTATGTTTCCACTAATGCGCCACCTACTCTATTTTTTTTTTGTAAAGACTCTCTTTCCAAAGGTTGTCTGTAAGAGATTGCATTAGCGATAAGACCGCCTTTTGTACTTAGTTTTTTTTTTTGTTTTTAATTCATTCATGTCCTTTATATGTTGGTGCAATAAAGTGTTATACAAAAAAAAAAAAAAAGGTACAAGGAATTGAACCCGCGACCATCATAATTAAAACGATGCGCTAAACCGTTAGACCACCGAAGCTGTCAATATTTTAAAAAAACTAGAAGGGAGAGTGTAAGTAATACTACTGTCACTGATATAAGCATAAGTATATGTATCTAATTTTAAATTTATATATGTTATCCTTTACACAAACACATTCTTTGGTATCTAGCTATGTGTAACTTGGCAATGTCCTTTTAGAGCTAAAACGACATTGGTAAGTTACACATAGCTGCAATATATTTGATGCTAAATGCGTCACAGAAAGGTTAGTGTTACAGACTAAGTAACACGTTTTATTTACAAATTAATTCTCACTCTAAATATCGTGTGACGTTTTGTATAAACGCATGCACGATCCTCGCCCGAAATCCGGTCGATTGTGTCGTCACCCGGATTCACATCTAAGATCAAAGGTTAAATAAAATCAAATAAGCGCATTACTTCACAACGATTTACCTATTTGTCTTTTTGTTGTTGGCGATTACGCCAGGACAAAGTTTGTTTGAAAGAAAATATTAGAAAGATTATACGGAAATATTAAAATATTTAGTACTTAATAGATTTATATTATTTTGTTTAATTTCGTTACCATTAACATGTGTGAAACTATAAATATTCAGTGCGGAAACCTGACCACCGCTACTGGAAGTATTACGACCTTCTCTATTGGTGATCCAATACTTACCGTTGCTGCTTCCAGTACCGGTGGCCATGTTTCCGCACTGAATTATGCTAATGTTAGTGAAATTAAACAGAATAATATAAATTCATTAAGTAATGAAATGTACTTCCACAAAATAACACCTATTTCCATAAAATATATTAAAATCTTATGTTGTTTAACGAAAAGTTGGTGTCGTGTCTTACGTAATATATATTATAAAACTATTTGTGTTTTATTAACAAGTTATTTACCTCTTTGTACTAAAAATAATGGTGTTTACTTGTTAACAGGTCAGGCATCAACGTGCTGGTGTGTGGGCCAAACGGATGCGGCAAGTCGTCTTTGTTCCGGCAGCTGGGTGAGCTGTGGCCGATTTTCGGTGGTACACTCACCAAGCCACCAAAGGGCAAGCTCTTCTATGTACCACAAAGGCCTTATATGACCCTGGGCACGCTGCGTGATCAGGTATAATATTCAAATAATTAATAGTATAGCAGCTTTGAATGAGTGTCTCAATCTCTCTCTTCCTAGCTATGTATCCCAAATGGTGGTGGGGTCAGCTTTCCTTGTTCTTCTCCGCAGATATCATCCGTAGAGACTCATCTACGGATACACGACGGAAACATCCTCGAACTCCATCATGTCTCATTCTCACACCCCTTTACCTATCGCCTTTGAATGAGTGAATGAAAATTATTCAGATATACTATGCGATTTCATGTACACAACTTTTAATCTTCTTTTTTAGCCTACTACCTAGTTTTTTTGTGACAAAACATAGTCTATGTCCAACCCCTATAATAAGGGAGTAATGAGTTTACAAGAACATATTTTTCTCAGTATAAAAATAAAAATAATGAAACGGATTCAGGCAAATTTTACTAATACTATAAACGCGAAAGTTTGTGAGTAAGGATGGATGGATGGATGGATGTTTGTTACTCTTACCACGCAAAAACTACTCAACGGATGAACTTTACAGTAATATAGGTTATACATCGGAATAACACAGGCTATTATTTAAAAAGATATGAAGATATTAAATTGGGCTATATATGGTAATAAGTGTCAAATAAGTGTGTTGAAAATTGCGCGGGTTAGCTAGTATTCTATATATGAAATAGAACTAGAAATAATCTTTATTCAAATAAACTTAATATAAGCACTTTTGAATAGTCAAGTTTTTTATTCTACCGCTTATGCGGAATGCAGATTCATCACAAGAAGAATAAGCAAGACACTTGTGTGTTGCTCTTTTAAATAAATATTGATTTACTTATATTTAATTAACAACAAGGATTAGGCATGCGACAACCAACATAGAAACCGCTACGCACTTAATCTCTGTTCATATATTATATATATGTATTCAGAAAGATTTTTTTGTTCTAAAAGTTTATAAAAAAATTCTTAATATACCTATTAATTTTATTGCCATATTCAGGTCATTTATCCACAAACTCGGGATGAAATGATTCGCCGGGGCCGCTCAGATGAACAATTGAACAAGTTCCTGGAGATCGTGCAACTCTCGTATCTGACATCACGCGAGGGAGGCTGGGACGCTGTGGAAGATTGGATGGATGTCCTATCTGGTGGCGAGAAGCAGAGGATAGCTGTAAGTATACGTCATAACTGAAGCGTGGTAGTAAAAGTAGTTTAGATTGTAAGGATCGATTCTCATATATATTTCGTTATAGATGGGTTCATATCTCTTCGTCATGAAAGTATAAATCATAGTTCGTTCCGTTCTCTTATATAGTAGCACAGAAAAATATATCCAAAAAAATTGTTTACAAACTAAAAGCGGATCGCTTAAAGCAATCTTTCACAGACAATCAGGGTTGTCAATTTACTAATTACTTTAAATATTTAATTTATACTTATATTATAAATTGAGAGATAGCTAATTTTGTTATAAGGAAATTAATTTGCATTGATTTGAGAAATTCTTTCACTGTTAGAAATGTACATTATACAAAAGTGAGTTAGACTGTATAGCGTACATAAATGTATACAAATAATTAGGATAATATTCTTCGACTAAACTAGAAAACGCGGGAAAAGCCGGAGTATATTTATAAGTTTATGAATGAATTAAAATATGTATTGTTACGAGTATATACGACCTCCTCATCGATTAAGTTTTATTAAGAGTAATAGTTTAGTTGTCAAATATAGATTGACATTATTGTAAAAATATATTATAGAAAAGACAATACAATTCTTCTGCTGCAAACATACATTTTATTTATTAGTAAATACATCATCTCACATACCATCTCAACACAAAAGAACCCCACCACCACATATATAATACAATATTACATCACAGATGGCGCGTCTGTTCTACCACGAGCCACAGTTCGCGATATTGGACGAGTGCACGAGCGCAGTATCCGTCGACGTTGAAGGACAAATGTATCAATACTGTAGAGAGGTAAGTCATATCATGCTATTTATCTAATTACACCTTTATTTTGGTACATATATACGAATGAGTTTGCAAACTAGCTGACGGGTCTTGTCTAATGGTTTTAGTTTATTTCGTGCTTTATATTCACACGAATAGATGTCTAACAATCTCATGTCTAACGATCTCGGATCCGATGGCAAACAAGCATACGGCCCATCTGGCCATGGCCCATCTAAATAATCACCATATCCTATAGATACCTGAAACATCAGGGGCGTCAATCTTTAAGAAACCTTAACATACTCTTCTTGAAAATCCCCATGTCTCTCGAGAAAACCTCGGCAGGTAGTTGATATGTTACGAACTCTATGTCTACGCAGGACGAAGCTCCTCTGAAACCGTACTGTCCGAGACCACTTAGGTTCCAGCATGTGGGGAAATCAAAATAACACATAGACTATAAATTTCACGTGGATGAAACCACAACTACAGCTTGTAATACGAGTACTTTTATATGTTATTATATATTCAAATGTATTATATGTAAACCGACAGATGGGCATATCACTGTTCACGGTGTCTCACCGCAAGTCGTTGTGGAAGCACCACGATCACTATCTGCAGATGGACGGCCGGGGTGGATACGTGTTCGAAACGATCGACAGCGAAACCCAACAGTTCGGTTCGTGATTCATTACCGAATGGTACACATACATATTTATAAATTAACGGCAAATGAACAAACATACAAGTCAATAATGTGACTTATCACAAACTTTATTAAGCGTAAAGCCGTTCTAGATTAAGCTTTATTTATATATAGCTTTCTTTATTCATAGAAATGTCAAGCTATTGAATTGTAATTGTAATGTAAATTGTCTCTGTTTATTACATTTTTCATTTGAATGAAAACACGATTCATTAGATCTTACGTTTTTATGAATAAATTTATATATATATATATTTTAATCATAATAAATTAAAGAGTATAAATTATATAGTTTGATATACAAAATTGTCTGTGAAAATGTTCATAACTTGTCGATATTAATATTTTTAAGACAAGTCCAATTCGTAAGTTTTAATACTTAGTGTTGCTAGATTTATGCTCTACGATTTATATATACCTCACGAAAGAAGTTCCCTGCAATGTTTTATATTAAACACATACTTCAACGACATCAAATGACGTTGATAACTATTTAAAAAAGATATATTGTTTCTAAACCTTAAATTTGATTATATAGATTGTAAGAAACAATTATTTGTTAAAACAATTATTATGAACAAAATATAATAATAATTACAATATTATAGAATCGCCATTTTGGTTATTGTTTAGTCCAAGGGACCTCCATCAGAAAATTCTACAGAATTTAAATTTATATAAAAAATAGGCAAAACTAGTAATAAAATTTGTCATTTTGAGATGCAGATCTCGTATTCTATTCCTCATAGTTGTTATAAATAACTTATACACAAATTAAGTATATATTAGGCTTTCTATAGCCGGTATGCCAATGTGATATGTGATATCCACATGCCTGCGTTTGTATAAAACATCAAATGTTTTTCTAATTATAGTAATAATTACATGAACTGTATTAAAGTTACTGGCAGCGAAGAATGATAGGTAAATAAATAAATTATCTATTAGGATTTCCAGCACACACATGACAAATAAAATTCTGTCTCGGTTTACAGCTATCCGCCATGTTCAATCTAAGAAAAATCTGCCCTAATAGGAATTGCATTTTGAGTGTAAACTTTTACTTACTATATATTTTATTAGTATATGCTGTGTCTGTTTGTTTTTTTATAATAAAAAATCTAATATTTGGTTTTTGTTATTTCACTTGTATATCAGGAATATACGAGTATTATGACAAACATATTACAGTTTGTATTAAATACCATAATTGAATACATTACCATCACCACATACAAGTGTAAAATAAATATATAAGAATTTTCTTTTAAGAAAACATGTACTGTGAATATCGTTATTTACTACAATAACTGGCATTCGTTTTACATTTAAATTATACAATTTATAATATACACTTATTTATACATACACAATTATTGTTAATTTATTATTTTTATTAAAATGTATTATTGTTAACAATTCAACCTTGTATTTATTTCAGTACAAAAAGAAGAGATGTGTGTTTTGTGTTCGGCTAGTATAGCCATATTTTTCAAGGTACATTTAAATATCCTATATATAGGATAACCTATATTAAAGCGATATTCGTCCAATTGCGTCATCAAATATAATATCGACTTACACTTTCATGACTAATATGAAATCCAAAACAGAATATCTTGACAGGACAATTAGCTATTTTATTTGGTTATTAATAACGACTATAGAAACATTTTCTTTTTTCAATTATGTAACGACGATATTCGCTTTAACCAGTCGTTTTTGCGGCCAGAAATACCAGCGGTAAACCGTCATACTGCCACTTACGTCAGAAACGTCACAACTTTATAATTTATTTATTATTATTATTATTATTATCGTAACCAGCGCGGATATAGATTTAATTAAATGCCTTCACAGTGTCTACTTTGCGTGTCAATTTGTTTTTTTTTTGTCCTTACTTTAGGCCCAAAAAAACCATTGCGCGGGAATTATTTTTAAAGTCTATAAGTAACTTTAATAGCTGCGCCTTATGCTGCTTATGCCGCGCTTAATGCTAACGCCATATATATGTTAATAATGAGTATTATAGCACCGTGGCATATAAGGACGCCTCTGTGATATGCGTTTATACACAAATCAGCAATATACATATAATATGTGTTAAAATTTTACATATATGAATTGAAATGCACACTCATTACAATATAATTAATAATACAGTGACATATAAGTAAAAAGCTATTATTAAAGTATAACGTAATTAAACAGTAATTCTATTATTAGAAAGAAGAAAGAAAGAAAGAAAAATATTTTATTCAGTGCAATGTAACAAAAATACAATATAAACAACAAACGAGAAAAAAAAAAAAATGAGCAAATAAAATGTAAATAAATAAAATTATAATTATAAATTAATTTACATATTAAATTTATACAACAGCTAATTCTTATGTTTTACAAATTCATTACATTACATTTAAAATTTGAAACTTACCAAACTGATATATATATTTGTAGAATAGTAAAAAATATTTTTGTATATCTTTAAATTATTATAATAATATATATACTTCAAGTATTGCTTCTTTTAGTAAAGTTTCTTGGAATGAATGTGGATTTATTGTAAGTTTAATTTCTTATGAATAAACATACATATGATTTTACTAATTCTTAAGTTACCACAATAAGCCATAAATTTATAATATATTACAATAACAATAAACTTCATAATGTTCAGAATCGATGTACGGAATTGATATAATTTTATAGTTTTAATTTTTATATTAGGCCAATAATAATATTTTTATTAATTATTATTTTTATATATAGGTGTTTACAATATGACAATTCATACCAGATTCTAATGTTGGGATTCCTACAGATGAAATTATTTTATTTTCTTACGATCATAGCATATTAAAATGGTTTTGTTTTTAATGTTCATAAATACTGATTAAGTATGTACTTTAAAAATTGTATCCACAATTTATGTTTGGATTATTATCCTGTTGTTAAATGGAATGTTTGATGTGACAATAGCTGTGATAGTTGTTGGTTTTGTTGAACTCAAATGTGGGTGTTGGGTTAATAAAATGGTTGAGGATACTATTATGTTTTATTTCTTTACTCCTATTTAATCAGCGACCATATGTATTTACGGCTTGTTTGATTTACCTCCCACACTTACTTCAAACGTGCGGACGGCCAATTACATAACCCTTGCTTATATACATAAACAAAATACGCTGACTTGTATAGCAGAATACCATTTATTTGCCACTCAATAGGACTTATATGCCTCCATATTACAAAAAGTTACTACTTCTCCAATTTGTGGGCTATATAGCCTGTAGTTACATTAAGAATCTCTCTCTTCAAATCAGAACAGACAGAAATTGCTTGGCGGCAAAAATAATAACTTCAAACTTATTTTTATTTCATTGAAATGGGAAACGATTTAAAAATATGTCCGATGGTAAATGACTGGCACCCATTACCTATATGCCTTTATAGTTTAGTTACGTGACGCAGGGGTACCGCCCCTTATTACTTACTTGCAAAGACCAACTGAACCGAAACAGCATTTAAAATACAAAGAATGTTGTTTAGAATCAGAAATAAATACTCAGGCGAAGTCGGGCCGGACCGCTAGTATTTTGTAATTTACTTGCAAACTGCGTTAAATTTCCCTTTTTTCCGTTGTCATAAACATATCTACCTAGGTTTTTATATCAAGTTTTCCTGCACTTGTTAAACTACTCCAATACGATACACGACTATATAATACGCATGTCATATATACCCATAACACATTGTGTCAAAACTGAGGTAATTTCCCCATAACTTTATGAGTAAGTAACTACCTACATAAATAGGTCTAACCACATATAAGGAAGGAATATCTATCCGATTTGGGTACTTATTTTATATTGTTGACTATTATGAGAAAATACGTTATATTTTTATGGTCAGAAATTGCACCTTATTATGTATAATAAATGCAAGTGTAATTTCATTCTTATTTTCCTTTGTTACGGAAGTAACTACGCAGTGTGATAGAGACTGTAAAGCATTAATACGTACAGGCATCGTTCAGATATACATATATCTTTTGATAAACATGCGTTGCATTCTTTAAAACGTTTAATTCTATTTATTATTTTTACTAGATAAAGTATTACCTCAAATTTTAATTAAAGAAAATGCACACCGTAGGTTGCATTGGGTGCAAGCTTATAGTGACTAACAGAAATACATATTTATTATTTTTCTTCCCCACAATATTGTAAAAAGCAGTCTAGACGAAAGCAGCACATTATGTACCTACATATCAACAATTCCTTATATAAATGGTTGCTTAGAAAAAATATTGATTACACAAAACCTAGTACTTCCTTTATAATCATATGTATATTTATTGAAATCAAACGCTTGAGGTATTGTAATCTAATAGACTGCCCCTTTAAAAATTACCTAGCAATGCCAATGTATGTTAAAATATTATATTAATATATTATTGGCATTGTACATATTTAATGGTATTTATTATCTAAAAACTTTTAATGTTGTTAATTCTTAGGAATAATAAAGGACTCAGATTTTATTGCTTAGTGTAACATTATACAATACAATGTTTAAAATAGTCATAGAGATCAGTTTAAATAATATACTATATAGTTGACTATGATGATTGTTTGTTCCGAATACATGACTATAAGTAAATCAAACTTCCCGCACAATGCTTATTCGAACAAACTATAAAGCGTGACGGCTTTGACATTTGTGATCCATTCCATTTCACCTACAACTGAATCTGTAATGATTTAAGCTATCATAAAATTCATTTATTAGAAGCCAAAAAAATATTTTCCAATGTTCTAATACTTTTACATCAAGAAAATAGACATTAAAAATATTATGTGGATGGAAGTAGATAAATATAAGTGATTCTTCATTGTAGTCCACGTTTCATTTATTTTCTTTAAGATTGAATATGAAACGGATTGTAAACATAGCACAGCTTCGCATCAGCTGTTGTAAAAAAAATTAACGGGACATCGCGATCGACACTGGTCACACCGACGGCCACATCAAAATCTGGGGGTCTGGCGTGTGACCCTGTTATTTCTATCCAGCAATAAAATAGCTGTGTAATCTAAGATAAGCCTTGCGCCATTATAACAGTGATATATTGTAAATTTTAGTGTAATTTATGTGTAAAATATGGAACGTGCTACGGGAACAGAGGTGTACGGGTGTGGCTCGACCCAAACTACGGACATAACGCTGAATATACAAACGACAACGGGTGGTAACTTTTCAATCAGTCTGAACGGTAAAAATACAGTGGAGCACCTTAAGAAATTAGTTTCTAAAAAGCTTAAGGTATCCAAAGATCGGATATGTCTCCTGCATCGCGAAAGGTGAGTAAAGAATTAGACGCCAAGCTTCTATTGTCAAACATCGCGGAAATAAGTTGCGTCGATACGGACGATGACGCATCCGCGTCCTTTGACTCTACGATATTGACGTTCAGTTTTGTCTCCGCAGACAATTGAGGGATGGCACTCTGGAGGAAAACGGTCTGCTGGACGGCTCACGCGTCATTCTGCTGCCGAGCGTCGAAACGGGACTCCTGGTGAGCATAGTTGTGGCACTATTTCGAAACTTCCATTCTGCACTATCAATAATCACGTGTTTCACAATAGTGTGAAACAAATCAGTAGCTATTATCCATCTTATAGTTTTTTTATTACCTACTGTATGTTCTAATTATCTATGTCAGTTAACATTCTTGTTCCCATTGTTTTCAGAGTCAAAGACCCGAAAATTCTGTGATGCAAGCATTAGAGTCTCTCAATGATACACAAGTTAATGATTTTCTTAGTGGTAAATCACCCTTAAATTTGACAATGAGGTTAGGGGACCACATGATGTTGATACAACTGCAACTGTCTACCCTCAACTCTAGTTCTAGTGGATCGCGATCTCTGCGCACTTCTACCCCCACAAAGAGTTCCACATCATCAATACGTACAAAATGTGACAACAGGGAATCACCCAGCCCTCAGAGCACACCACAGAAGCCCACAGAAAATAATAAGTCTAATGAAGACACTGATAAAAGCAAACAGGAACTTCATAATCACATTCTACAGAAACAAGATTTAGAAATGCTACAAAATGCTTTTGATTTGTATAGGTCCATGGCAGAGGAAAAATATGCTGACAAATCAGAAAGCTGTGAAGAGAAAGATGAATCAATGGACACAACAAATTGTACACTCTCAGATTTGTCAGATACATCAGGTGAAAATGAACAGTCTCCTATAAAGTCTTTGTCAAATTTGGTTTCTAGTCCTATAGATGTATCTTCCTCTGAAAGCAGGGAAAGCAGTCTTGTGAATACTGTAAAAAATAATTTGATTGATTTGTTGTCTCAGAATAAATTAAGCAACAATGTGATACCTTCAACAAGTGCCATTGCTGATAAACAATGTCCATCTACATCGTCACACACACCTGATAGTTCATTTAGTGATGACAGTGACAATTTCACTGACCAAAGTTCATTCCTAGCAGAAAGTACAATAGATGAATACCCAATGGAAAATCTCTTTAATAGTGCTGTAGATAAAGGGTTATTTGAAGACCAGGATGAATCTATGATGGACAGGGAAATATCAAATTTGGCAACTACAAGCCATGGTATACAGGAACCTACAGGCACACTACCATCCTTCCAGAGTATAAATGAGCCATTAAAAAATAAGCGCTTCCAATATTTACTTCATAAGACATCTAAATTCAAACATCCAATAGGCCAAAATAAACAAAAAGCATTCATGCAGTCTGTAGTAAATAAACATAAGAAAAGAATGCAGATCAGACAAGATAGTAACTTGGTTCAACCGTCCACATCAAGAACTGAGCCATATATAACAAATTCTCGGAAACTCATATTGCAACCCAGCAGCGGCCCTGTAGAAGATAATGCCATTCCATCAACATCAAAAGAAGTACCTTTTAAAGCTCCTGATGCTCCGAAAAAACCACAGAGAGCATCACCCACTCCACCTGTTGATACTAAGGCACTTATAGAAGCTTCAAAGAATTTAACTCAAAAATTAAAGAAGCTATCAAAAGAAGTGTTGACAAACAAAATTGATCTCCGAACCGCCGAGGAGTCTGTGCGCTCGAAAATTGGCCCGGGAGCTGTGATAGAGTCCATGAAGCATCATGGAAAAGGAATATATTCGGGTACATTTTCGGGCACTTTGAATCCAGCTCTGCAAGACAGGTAATTATTACCTTTTACTTTATTTTTTGTACTAATGGAATGGCAATTATATGGCCAGATACATAAAAAGCGTCACAGACATCACATGCTGACACACCCATAGTAACTCCCACCCCTCATCCCCCCACACACATGCATTAGAAATATTCTTTTTTCAAATATATTTTTATAAGCACTTTTGAATGGTCATATTTTTTTTATTCTACAACTCCTTTCGAATGCAGACTCATCACAAGAATAATAACCAAAACACTTGTTTGTTGCTCATTGTAATGTACAGATAAATAATTAAATATGCAGCCTTAAATATGTATCTAATAATAAATAATATGTTGAATATAGGCATTAGGCATATTAACACTATTAAAAACCAATGCCTACTTTCATCTCAGTAAAATATACATATATTACATACAATTCCAAATCATTTGTACAATATCCATTACATTACCATTTGAAATTTATTGTACTCTCATTAGTCCTAATATTTCTTATGTAACTGGTAAACATGATTTTATTGTTAACTTTTGCTTTAGATCCTCTTATCTATACATACAATTGGAGTATCTGTTTGTAAAATTTAAATAAGTTTTTTAATTATTTATATTCATATGCATGTGCATATGAATATAAATATGGTAGATACATCAAAGTAACATTTTTTTCATTTTTTGTTTGTGAGTTTGTTCCAACTAATCTCTGAAATGTTTGGACCGATTTATTAGTTAATTATGGAAATACATGGATAATATATAATTGTCTGCTTATTTCAGATATGGCCGACCGAAACGGGATATTTCTACTATCATTCACATACTGAATGATTTGCTGTGTGCTGCGCCGCCTATTGCCTTATCACAGGTATTAAAAAGGATTTATTTTATACAGTAATTTGTGTATACAGACATACACATGTAATAAATGTATATAAACGTTCATGTAATAGTATAATATGTACAGCCTCATGATCTAGCTGTTTAGGATACCAGATTACAAGTTTGTTGCATTCTCATTGAATTTCTAGCACATTTTTTTTTTGTAGATACGTATTTGCAAAAAAAATCTATCAGTTGTTGAGTGACCATGTGTCAGTATTTATCGTCTAGGGTTATGATTATTATTATTAAATATTGACTGCTTTAGAATTATGTTTATTATATTTCAGAAAGAAAAACACTCCTGTACAACAAGCTTATTAGACGAGGCCAACAAATGTTTGGGATGTAGTCAGCCGTCATGCTTATATGGTCAGTGCGACGGCCACCTACCTTCCACATCTAGCGCCGAAGGCAAGAACTGCACTTGCAATTTAAAAGACTGCCACTGCAATAGACTTAAACCGAATGTTTGCCCGTCATGTTCAAGCAAATCGAGCTCTGGTGAAATATGCAAGAAATGTGATACCGCCAAAACTCTAGCCATGGAGAATTCAAAGACTAAATGTAAACTGGAACAATTAAGACTTGTTATGCAGCAAAAGAAACAGCGGCGCGAAGCGAGAAAGTTGAAAACACTTCCATACTCAAATTCGCCTACTAAATCGTTAGCGCCAGCGGAGCAAACGGCTCCGATATCTGAAGAAATAGAAACAGTTGCTTAACACGCAATAATACTTTAATTCCATACTTCGATTTCCAGACCGTGCATTCTAACGATATGCCGCCATTTTGTCATGCTTTTATATGGAAATTACTATTTACAGACTATTCACGTAATAAAGCTGCAACAATCTGTCAGCATAGAGTTAATGCACTTCATTTGCATATAAGGCGTTTTCCGACTGGCGACATTTGTGATTTTAGGATTCGATATTAACTACGCTATGTCTTGAGTTGGGAACCGTCCATGCGTATCTAAATTAGTAACACGATTGTATACTCTTTGCTGAACATGAATGTATTGTGTCAAGTGTGTATTTGAAATATGGACAAAGTATTCGCTTTTAAAATACGCTGAATGCGAATGTGTGCATGTGGAAAATTGTTTTGTAGTCCCCTGGAAAGAAAGGCTGAATATATCTCTCATAAATATTTTCTGTGATGATGACATTACATCGTTTCAATCATTCTTTTCCATGATATTGTAAAGATGTACAGTAGGTTTGGTTTAGATACGTATGTGTGATGAATTTGAATGATGATGTATGCACGTGGGGATAGACCCCGATTATATTCTAAATTACCATCTGACTAGGTTTGGATTGTAGACATATTTGTAAGTGCTATTATACCTATGTACAAATAAAAATTGATAAATAGCAAAATCACTAGAGTATAGTATAGTAGTAACGAGTTAAGATTCTCCCTTGTCTGGGCGCGGCTCCAAATTGGTTTTTGTTGTTATATTTTAGATTATATTTTATTATATTATTGGTTCAGTCAACTTTTGGACACTTGTGTATGTAGTATATTGTAATCGTTTAATACCAGTCTAAAAATTGACTAAAGGCATTTTTAATGTATTATAAATAACTTATTAAACCTGACAGTATACATATAGCAAGTGAAATAAATTTTGTTTTCATGATTTTTAGACAAACTAATTTTGAAACATTTACTAGAATTAATTGGCACTGTTATTTTTAAAGTTTTTCGTTGTTTTTTTTTCTCCTATCACGGATGTGTTGTTAAATTTAATAAATGTTTTCCATTGCACGTTTATTTTGTTTAGTTTTTTTGTTATCTTTATTATTTAAATTACTAAAATGCATGTGTGATAAACACCAATTAATGTTGAATGCAATACTGCCATACTATACTAGGTAAATAAAAATATAGGGCACTAGATTTGGACTACCTAGCTTTGTATATAAATATATGCGAAAGGTATATTATAGTATAGAGGCGAAGTGCTTCATTATATTTCAACTTTGTATAATAAAATATATTTTATCATTAATTGATTAGAAATATATAGAGGTTTATGAATTATTTTGTGAGCACTATAACAGAAATATAATAGTACATTAGATATTCGGTAACTGTATAAAATGTAATTAACAAATAACGTTATTAATTTAAATTCCTGAAGAGATATTGACTCCATAATCAGTTTTGTGACGCATCGCACAATATGTTTATTTGAAAAAATAGTATAAAAACAAGATTACGAAATCAGGGTTCCGTTTGATTATACTTCTTACCTCTATTTGTTATGTAGAGACGAGTAGTGGAATATAGTATATATATGTATATATATCATTATCGTATAATTTTATTCCAAAACACCAAATTCCGGCTGTGATACTGAAGACTCGTATCCAGTTGTGACACTTTCGAGTATTAAAGTTGTTGAGAGCTTGTATAGACCAGATTCTAGTTGGTTCTATCAGTGTCTTTCGCAGACTATTTATGCGCGTTGACTTACCGTTACCATCCCACGTTGGTAAGGGACCAAGCGATCGATTGGAAATTAACACAGCAATAAATTACAATTTATCACAAAGTGATTTGATTGCTACCTAATACAAGTGCCTATATATATGTTGTAAGGTACGATAGTGTTGTGCCATGGTACCCGTAGGTGATTGTTAGTACCTAGTAATATTGTGAATTTATTAGACTCCACCCTATTTTTATTTTGTTCGATCTCTTACCAATCTGGCTTCATATCATGATCTCAAACTATAAATATTATTTCCTGAATGTCTAGGCCGAAGACAGCCATTTAAATTACAAATGCAGATTATTATGTACATAAATTTGTTACCAATCGTATATTTATAAGGTTTTGAGGGAAATTCTTGTTTATCGTCCTTTGTATTTGCATGTCTAGTGAGGAGAATAAAGTTACATAACAAAACTATTTGCTGTTTTCTGCAACTTACACAGTTTGTTAAAGACGTATGTATTATACTGATAAGTTATCTTGACAAGCTTTTTTTTATACTGAAATATCTTTATAGTGCTTATAAAAGATCAGTATATTAAAAAATGAGTTTTTATCACTATGAACTTACGTTTAATTTATGCTCTTATGTTAATAATTCGTCGATAAAAATTCTGATAAATAGCACACTTCCTTTCTCCATCCTTATTATCCTAAAATACAATGAGTAGATATAAGAATCTGTCATTGACTCACTAGTGTATATATGATAATCAGCGTCGATACTGGGTTCAACTAAGTTGGCCAGGGTTCAGGAAACTAATAAGTTACCTAAGGAGAATAATGCTGGAGTCTACGGGTTTATATGCAGAATAAATAGAATGTCAATACGACTAAGAACCCCGGAACTAATAGCTAAGAACTCCTAAACTAATCAGGCAATATGTGAGTTGGCCTTATTAAAAAACGAGTTCATAAAATAACAACATAATTAGGTCGAAAATTACTAACAGTATATACATAACACATGGCCAAAGTTCCCGTATTTCAAGCCAAAATCAGAGCAGTATTTAAATATTTGTAATCGGCCTAAATTCTTTGATATCATACTGTTATAATAGTTGTGTAGTCTCAAGTAGAATATATTTTGGTTGCACGTTCAGATTACAATATAAAGAACAAGTATACTAATCTAAGAACAGGGAAGAATCAACCTTATATAGTATATAAATGGAGGAATTGAATAAAAATAATAGATGTACTTTATTCTAAAATATTTTAATTAACTGTCATGTGTGGTGTGGTAAAATGACCACTTCGACCAGTCGCTATCCAATGTTAGGGATACGCACGTCACGATATGCTTACTAAAAGAACAATCACAACTTATATACAAATCACTGTTTTCACAACGTCCTACATAATCCAACACGAACTTAAACATAAAATTAAGTTTTGTAAGATTAACTTAACAAAGTTGGATCGTAATAATTATAAACGAACGCTTAAAAACTATGAACAACAATATATATATCAAAAATGTAATAGATTTGCTCGGAAGGACATTAATAGTGGACTATCGACAAAAACAAAGTGTACTTCTCGTAAATTTTATTATAAAGTTCATCTCATATAAATTAGCATATAACCCACACACGCGTAACGCACGCACACACTGCGCCGAGACGAACGCTGCGCCCCAGTGGTACAAAATAAAACCTTACTAAATAAAAACGCAAGCGCCGCGTTCGCCGCGGCGGAGAATTTATCCTACTTAGAAGAGAAGCGTACTCATGCCGCCCATCTCCGCCTGTTCCTTGACGAATATCTCGAAGTACTGGTAGATGATGGTAACGGCGAGCAGGATACCGGTGCCTGAGCCGATGGCGCCGAGGAAGTCAGCCAGAACTGAGAGTGCTCCAATACAGAGACCTCCGAAAGCGGCTGCCGTCGGGATGTATCGGTTCAGCTCGTGTATCATTGAGTTATCTCGATGGCCGCGCATAACCATCTGTTGTTCTTTCAGCTGTTTGGCAACCTGTAATTTTAGATATCGATGTAGAACAAGTTGCGTAAGTCCCAGTACATTCACTAAGTGAAAGTAAAAAATAAGTAATCTGAACATATCAGGTACCAACTTTCCAAACTAAAGAGCTCATTTTTAAATTAAATTTGCAAATAAGCCCATCTAATGATAAGCGGTAGTAGGCGCGTACATACACGAACAGAACTATATATGATATCATAGATGCATTGCCATTATAGAGGACTAAGTTATCATAATACACTTTTTTTTACATATATGCATAGAAAAAAAGCTCAGAACAATGCAAACAGACAAATAGTCATTAGTATAAGTGTAATAGTTACCAGTATTTGCAATAGTTACTATTGCCCTTTACACTGGACTAGATCATAACTAGACTAGTGCAGCTATTGAGTAATTGAATAACCATAGTAGTATAGTATATATAACCATAATGTCTATATACCATGTTTTAGATATTTTTTTTTTAATTTGCATATTTACATAGAACAATAATCAATAAAAACAGATACATTCATAAATATCAATAACTTTGATATGCGCAGGATTTGAAAGCGCGAGTATTATACATTAAAGTAATAAATCAAAACCAGAAAATTTCTAAGATAAGGGTGACCTCATTTGCCGTGTCATGTACCAGTTTAGTTTGACCCTGAAAACCATCATGATGAATTCCTGGTGAATTCACGATTGGCTAACTGACCTGACCTCATGCTCATCATAACATCCTCCACTTGTGGCCCGATAGCATAGACCGTCAGCGCAAGCAGGTGCAACAATGTTATTTCCGAAATACGATATTGGAAGCTCTTTTGATGAAGGAGCATATTCCTCCTTATATGGCTATCAACGAATTTGCAATTCTCTTATTGTTGCGGGTGCTCATGGGCGGCGGTCATCACTTACTATCAGGCATGTTTGTCCCCTATACTGTAAAATAAAAACTTACATCCTTTGCTGAAGATCCGGAGACATCAATCCACGTCTTAGAGAAGAATGCGCATGAGCCGAGCATGAAGATGATGTAGAGAACAGCGTGGAGCGGATCGTGAGCGATGTGCGCGAGAGACTCCGGGGGACTGAAGTAGTAGCACAACCCGCCTACTGGATAAGCGCGGGCCGGGCCACCGCCTCCCACATCCGCCCATACTCCCAGTAAATTGACCAGGAAGTTACCGCTGAACTTCACCGCAAGCATCTGTAGGCGAACACCACACATGTTAGACTTATACTAGTGTACTTGTGTATAGTTTTAATGTCTTAATGCTTCATGTATTTTTTTTTTCTTGTACCTAAAATGGTGAAAAACTAGCCGACTGTAAATAAAAACATTTACATACTTATATGGCCTCAGTTGTCTAGCGGTGTAGCACGTTTTACTGATACTGGTACAATCATTTGTATTCATAAGTATGATTGTTTGTATCAGTCTGAGTAATTTCAGAAATGATTAAAAAATTCAAAAATAATATAAAATCCACCAAGGAGTTTGCAAAAAAAACTGTCTGTGAAAAAAAAATGAATATACAGAAAACAAAGTGCACTATTAAAATGCAGTATTAAAAATACTATTTAATACTGAATAATGCACTGCTTTTTTCCATAATACTAAGATAAAATAATATAATTATTTAACAAAATAACTTACTTGAGATATAACATATAAGTTGGATACGAGTGCCGATTGCAAGATAATGGGAATGTTCGATGTGTAGAACAATTTGATTGGATATGACGAGTACTGTCCACGGTACCGGGCCGACTTGATTGGCAGGTCCACGCGGAAGCCCTGTGGATAACACCATTTTAAATTAGTGAACGCAATCTTAAAAACCATGACAGTGAAATAATAATAAAAGATGCACATAAATTTATTTATATTAAAAAAGTAACATTTGACCCCTTTGTATTTCTGTTTATATGTACACATAATAATTATAAAATACCTCCTGCATCTCATCATCAATAGAGAACAGAGTGACTTCTAAGCAACATTTAGGAATGGGTCGCTAATAATGTCTATACTCCGAAAAATACTTCTGCTGTCTACTACGCTACTATGTCGATTTTTTAATTTTTTAATAAAGCTATAGCTATCTAGATATATATGTAAGAGTTGTATCACCGAAATAAAAATAAAAAAAATATTTTCCTTTCACCTGCACAAATCATTCCCACACGAACTCACAATTAATGTTGGTTATACTCACTATATATTACTTTCGATCTTCTCCTTAATATACAACCATAGTTCAATGCCAACATACCTGGAAGTATATGACGATAGCAAACACGAGTACTGTTGCAAGGAGATTCATCAAATTGGGCAGATTTTGACGGTAGAAAGCCTCGCGCAGTGCACGAACTTTGTCAGGGCGGGTGGCGAGCAAGTGGAACAGCGCTATCACGGCTCCTTCGAACTCTGTGCCGCGACCTGAATAACGTGTGTTATTATAATCGTTAATTAAGGAAAAAGTTTGAAGCCTGTCCTATCAACAATTAAAAAGAGCGATGGATGATCGTACAATCAACCACTTACGATCATCCACACATCCGATACATCCACCGACACGACAAGAGCTCTCTTATGAATGCATTTGTATTAAATATTTCTAACATTATTTTCACTATTTTACTGTACATATTAACATTACTGCATATAATAAAAATTATGATTTACATAAAAGATAAATGCGAAAAAGAATGGAGCCCAAAATATTATTGATTCAATTTCTAGCATGATTAAAACATCTGTATGATTGCTTGTATGAGTCTGGGTGTTTTCTATGCATAATCTCTATATATTAAAAAAAAAAATCTATGCATTTGTATCAGTTGTCTAGTATTCATAACTCAAGCTCAGCTAGAGCTTAGCTTGGAACTAGATCGTACTGTGTGCATTATCCTGAGACATTATTATTATTTTTACATTTACTTTAATTATTTTATTATATTATCCAAGTTTATATAGTTACAGAATACAAATGAAGGACTGGACTATTTGTTCGTATTTAAAGACTTAATTTTATGGACATTTACATCTTTTTAAAAACGCAAGGATTCATAAAATATATTAAGCAGGTACTGTACCTTTATAATTGTAATTCTAATTTTTAAAGATTACATGTAAATGTCGTAATTTATATTAAAGTTATGGTCTAAGTTATACTAACCAGTATTGACGGTAGCAGGTGAGAATGCTTTCCAGACGATAGTTTCACAAATATTTGTGGCAATGAACAGTGAAATACCAGAGCCCAGACCATATCCTGAAAAAAAATTTACATTGTAATAACATAAATTACACAACTCCTGTATTTATTTAACAAAAATTAATAATTATGATTAAAAATATATTTATTTATTGTATATAAAATCCATGTAACAATTCAACCAAATTTAAAATAAATCAGTTCGGCAATCAATTATTACCTATCAACAACTTAATTAGTTTAAAACAGTATTGTAAAATTGAGATTGAACACAATTTCTTATAATATTTTTTTATTAGTGATATTGACATCTTGACATGAAATCTGAAAAATCTATATTGCTTTTTGATGAATCCACAATGAGATATATCACATCTGTAGTACTGCAGTACACTCTTTCTTGGGACCACTAAAAAGGCAGCTGTGACTATTGAATCAAATAAATATATACATATATTTCATTGATTGATTGCTAAGTGGAAGAATTTATCTCTGCCTACCAATCTCAGCTATCCAGCGACAGCTTGCTTTGTAAGCTCTGTTTCAGTTGAAGGGTGAGGCATGATAAATTACAGGATTAATGTTATATTCATAGTTCTGTTCAAGTATATGGGTGGTTACCACTTAACATAAGGAGGACCAAGCTTGTTTAACAAATAAATTTTATAAAAAAAAATTAACTCAAAAAAATGTATTTAAATGAAGAATTTGACCAACCTTTTTGCAGAAGCTCATCCAGTAACAGCACAATCAAACCAGCTACGAACAGCTGGATAATGATAAGCAAACACACGCCAGCACCGATCTCACTGGGCTCGCCATACATTCCCGTCATTACGTACACGATCGCTTGGCCGACTGTTATTACCATGCCAAACACTGAAATAAAAGGATTCATTAGTAATTGCTGTATAACTGACACTTCTGTCTTGTATGGTTTATGTCAGAGCTGTCAAACCATGGCACGCAGGCCATATGCGGCCCACGGCTTGAATTGATGCATCCCACTGAACAATTTTTTTCTTTATTACTTAATATAACAAAATTTTTGTATAGAGAAAATTATAATTTGTACTTTTTTAAAATACAAAATGATTTGTAGATTAAATTATTTTCTCTTCTGGTCTTATGAGCATGCACTGCGTCTAGCATTATTGAGATTAATGATATTCTACTTGCATTTTGTTTTTACAAATATTTTGTGGGAAACATTTTTATTGGCCCTAGATGGGCTCGTCAATGGATTTAGTAATTTTTATTGGCCCTAGATCCTATCTAGTATGGACAGCCCTAGTTTATGCATTGCCTTTTCAAATGAGTTGTATAATAAAAAAAATGTGGCTATTAAAAATGCTTATCTTAAGTTCATTTGAATACAGAATATTTCTGTTTCTATCCAGTGGTAGTGTATTCATTATGAATTAACTGTGATGCTTTCCTCAGGGAAAGCATTACAGTTAATTAATCTAATATTTAATCTCCAATACTAACAATCCCCTCGGTCTAGTCAACATGGCAATGGTAAGCTAAATACTCCTCACAGAAGGGACCTGTGCCTAGCAGGGGTTAATACCAGCAGGGTAAGTAAATTAAAGTGATTATCTGCTTTTTTATTTAATTAATTGACAAATTCATACTGTTTTGATTTTCCTATCAGTTATCAGAAAATCTGGTGCCTTCATAGGCATTATAATGAAGCTATTCTTTGTAGCATAAATGTCAATAGACATTGTTGATATTGCTACATAGCTTAATCTACTGTCAAAAGGTATAATTTATTATGTCTAGATTTTTCCAGAACAGAGTACTTATCAACTTGATAATAAATGCACTCTATTTCTAATATGAAATATACAATTATACTTAAAGAAAAATGGACATATTTATTTGACAACAGTGAAATTATTGTTTTAAAATCAAGTATATGTATGTTTTAAAATAAGTATATATATGCTAAGACTTGTTACATAGACTACTATTGATAAATGATAAATTTCTGAAAAGGATATACTGTGCATCATCATCTCATCTCATCAATCATCTAACAAATAGCACAGCTGTACAAAATTACATATTTTTATTTTATTTATTTATATAAATAATCCACAGAACACCAAAGTAAAAGTACATATGGCAGACTTAACACCTTGACTCGACTCAACTAACTAACGGAGAAAAATTGAATATATGTATATATAAATATATACATATATGTACAAATTTGTAGTATATTTATTTTTAAAGAGCACAGACAACTTTCTTGCCTATTCTTCCTATCAGCATTTTGAATCTGACAGTAGAATAAAAAATAAATTTATTGATCACAGATTATCTATAGTTATTTATTAATTTTAAACATAAAACTACAGATTATATACATAAAGATAAAGATAATAAAATACGAGAATGATACAATTACTTACATTTTTGAGCACCATTGAACAAAGCTCTGTCTTTAGGAGTGTCACCAACTTCAATTATTTTTGCGCCTGCTAATAACTGCATAATGAGACCTGATGTGACAATTGGTGAGATACCAAGTTCCATGAGTGTTCCTCTGTTTGATGCTAGGATTACACGGATCCAATAGAATGGATCTGCACTATCTGATGACATTATACCGAATAAGGGAATCTGGAAATTATTAAATATTCATTTATATATTACTTGTGTTATTTATATATTACTTCGTTCCACGGAAATCTATTATAATATTATGCTGTAAGGTTGAATTTCCAAAATATTTTTTCAGTTAAAGTTATAAAGATTATGCTCCATAATTCCTAAAGATTTTATGCTATGATTTGTAATAGGATTAGGAAGATTGATTTTTATAGTACACTATACTTTTTATATAAATATTCTGATATTTGGTTCTATTTGCAATAATTTAATTATTTAGTTATATATATTTTATAATAACATAGCCATAGACCAAAAATCAATGTATTTCAATTGGAACATAAAAATTAATTTAACCATATGTGTACTAAAATATTGATTATTTAAATGATGATTACCTGCATAGTAATCAAAATTTTAACTAAACGATATTTTTTGTCAAAATTTTGATTTAATTGTATTAATATTAAAATAGAAAGTCATTACTGGATATTCGATAATTGAATACTAGTAGATATAGTTATGATCACTTACCTGACAACATACTAAGAAAATAAATAATGTTATTGCAGTCCATAATACTTTTTCACGGAATTGAATCTGAAAAACAAAGTGACCACTTAGAATATAGGTTAAAATGTAGTGAACTGTAATGTACAGTTAACATTCCAAATTTAAACAGAGGTGAGGTTAAGTTACTTTCACTATGTTTAATGCACAAAACTGACTTGAAATAATTTATATGCAATTAATTTAATGAAAGTTCACTATAAGATTGACTTAAAAGATATAAATATGAGTTTCTAGACCACACTTACCTTTCTCTCAGGTTTTGCTATCTCCGGCAATATACTGCAAAACGGCTTTATAACTTCAAGGAATTTAACTGCGAAGACGGGAAAATAAACATTATATTACACGTTTATCACATAATTTTGCGTTTAGAGGGTACCACGAATACAAAATAAAAGAAATGTGAAGAAGAGAAATGCATGAAAAATGTATATATATATCAAGGATACTCACTTCCCATTTTGATTTATTGCGATTTTACTATCCTAACTAAATTATCAACTGATCAATTCGACTAAAACCATTCAACTTTTGTTCATTAGTAACACTCCAATAGGACTTTGCGAAAAGAGGCTGCGCAACGCCGCCAACGAGCTGTCCACAAATGACACGTCCACAACGTCACGTCACGTGACCTGTGATGTTGGCGTAGACTATGTTGCCCGTATAATTTCTTTATCAAATTGTTTACTTTTTTTACAATTTACACATTAATCACATTTTTTGAAATTAGGTATATAACTAATTTCCAATGATAAACTATCATTTGAAATGCATTCATAAATGTGTTGGATAGGGACGAACATATTGTTTTTTCATTTAGTAAAAATTTTTTTAAGGACATGGAATATTCCATGTCCATAAAAAAAATTACATGGAGTACTCCATGTCCTTAAAAAAAATTTTTACTAAATACAGACTACTATTTTTACTAAATACGAATACTATACAGAGGTACCTCTGCGTTGATAGTGTAATACACACTATCAACTCAGAGGTATTCCTTGTTTACTTTCTTTATTGAATAAATGATTAATTATTATTAAAAAATTTATAGGCTTTCTCATATTTTAAGTAGAAATAATTGTACCCACTTAAAAGTAAAACATAAAAATTATACAGTGCTACTACAATAATATAACACAGTACAATGCAATTTTTTTTTTACCTACAATGTACTTTTTAAAAACAATATTTGGTTTTGAAATACGTTTCCAAACTAAATACAATATACCAGATATACAGAGTACTTACTATCTGTTAAACGAGATATAACAAAAAACGATTGAATCAATTTAATGGAATTAATTATAATGTTCTTTAACGAACAAGAGGGCTATAGTGAAAACTGGACTTGGAATTTACTAAAAATTTTTAAATTCATGTTTAAAATTTTATAAATGTCATAAATAATATACGTCAAATAAGAGATGTCATTGTCAAATATTTATTACTATTTCGGATTTACCATGTGTTTTCATTTTGAATTATTTGTAAATAATTAATTCATTTTATTAATTCAACGCAAAAATTTGATTATTAAAAACATGCCTCAGGCACATCGTCCTGGCCATTTGAAGCAGAGCAATAAAACTCATAAGTCCCGCCATCGTTCGAAACGGGGTATAGCGGCCGCTGTTAAAGGTTAGCTCTTATTTATCTGCTCGTTTATTCACAAAATCTTTACTATTCTTATTTAAATTAAATCTTTTGCAGGTAAAGTAAATGTGAAAGAAATAGTTCGACGCAATCGTCATATTCTAAAAAAAGATGAGCGTCGTCATCAAGCAAATCAAATTCGCAAAAACAAACGTGAAGAGGTTTTGGCTAAGAAACGTGCGCTTGGTGGTTCTCGGTACCCACCATTCTTGGTGTGTGTAGTACCACTAAATGCTCAGTTAGATGTCCAGTCCGCCTTGGTCATATTGAAAACATGTTCTGAAGGGGTTGTAGTTTCACAGTCTGAAAATGGAATTGTGCATATTGGGTAAGTATTAATAAACTTGGAACTGTGCTTAGGTAAATATTTTACAGCTAATTCTAAGAAATCTCTCTTGAGCATTTGATTTGACATTTTTATTACATGTACGAAATTTTTGCCAAACAATAAATTTATGGATAATTTAGTTTGGTCTCGCAAATTCTTGATTCTATTACCTATGAATTCACAGCAGTTCTTGTATAGTTATCTAGGTTAATTTATAACCATATATTAAGATTTCAGTACAAATCTGTTGTGAAATTTATGTAATAAATAGCTTTTTAAAAGTTCACATTTAAAATATGATTATAGTTTTTTTTTTCATTACAATATTACACATGGGCTTCTTGATCTTTAAAGGTAGCATTTGTTAGTCAAACCTTTGTTTTAGCTTTGATATGGAAATAATAACAAATTGAATAAAAAGTGTATAAGACAAGGTATAAATAATATATAATAGGGTAGGCATCTGCATAAATTTAGTCACAAAATATAATTGTATGATCCACCTCAACCTTGTTACTTGCTTACTTGTGATACTCCATCCCTTGTGTGATACAAACAATCACATATATATGAAACATAGATATATTTATAGGGTTTACATAATTTTTTAATACTTAGAGAAAATATATATTTTGGAATGTTAGTTTGAATTTTGCCTTTGTCTATCAATGAACTATTTTATTGACTCTCTTACCTCCCTCTTTACTTATGATGTTATTTATATATACATGTATCTAATTGATTATTAACACACATATTTATATTTCAGCTTACCAAATTTCAAGCAACACTTCTCATTTATTTGCCCGGAAGTAGGTAATGATTTTGCTCTCTTGGATTCTCTTAAAATTGCTGACACAGCATTGTTTGTTAGCTCAGCATTAGATGAACCTGTTGATGAATGGGGGGAGAAGGTGCTAGCATTAGCAATGGCCCAGGGGATGCCCACTCCTGTAGTAGCTGCCATGGATATAGAAGGGGTGAACCCTAAAAAACGCACCTCTGAAAAACAAAATGTTCAAAAGCTTATTTCAAAATGGTTACCAGAAGAGAAAGTTATGCAATTAGATAAAAGTTCTGATGGACTAAATTTATTACGTAGAATTGGCAATCAGAAACGCAATATAATTCATCACAGGGAAAAGAGACCATACTTATTAGCAGAAGAAGTTCAATATGTGCCTGATGCAGAAGGAGAAAGTGGCACTTTAAAAGTTAGTGGCTATTTACGTGGGATGCCATTAAATGTAAATGGCTTAGTGCATATAAGTGGGTTAGGAGACTTTCAGATGGTGAGAATTGATGGACATGAGGACCCACATAGTCTAAGTGTAGGAAAGGAGAAAACAAAATCTGATTCAATGGAAGCTGAAGTTGCTACAGTGTCAGTGTTACAAATAGCTGATCCTGTTAAGCAAGAGAGTTTAGCATCTGAAAACATACCAGATCCAATGGATGCAGAACAGACATGGCCAACAGAGGAAGAGATTGCACAAGCTAATCTAGAGGTAATCTAGTGTTTTTCTCCACATTAATGTATTTGATTTCTTGTCAGCTTTGATGATGTAACATCATTTCTTTTCATCACCAGGAAGTCTGGATCCTGGGTATGATAACAGCCAATTATAATATTCCTAGTTACATTTCTATATTAATAATTTGCATTAGTGACTTCATTGGCTCAGCTTAAAAATTATTTCACATAAAAAAAATTGAACAATGGCTGAAATGTAGTAGTCTGAGATTCATCATCTTATCCATCTTAATATGCCATTAATGAATAAACTCTAACTAATAATATATTTCAGACAAAAACAAAGAAGGTTAAAAAAGTTCCAAAAGGATGGTCTGATTACCAAGCTGCTTGGATAGTAGAATCGGATGTAGAAGGCGAAGGTTCAGATGCAAGTGACAGTGCAAGTGATAGTGCAGATGACAATGAAGATTTTATGTCATGTGAAGAAGATAACTCAGATGTAGAGGATGGTGACAATAACGACTTTGAATCTGTTACTGAGTCTGAAGTTGGTGTTAGTGATGAAAAGTATGATACCACAATTGATGCTCATGAGGAACATGAAATGCTACAGAAGTTGGCGGCTGCTAAGGAGGATAAGCAATTTCCTGATGAGGTTGATACTCCTCAGGATGTACCGGCTAGGGAACGATTTATGAGGTACAGGGGCCTGGAGTCTTTTAGGACCTCAACATGGGATCCTAAGGAAAATCTGCCGGCAGATTATGCTCGTATTTTCCAGTTCGAAAATTACGATCGCACGAGGCGAAGGATTTTTAAGGAGAATGAAGATAGTTTAATTAATATGGTAAGAACTTACTAAACTTATTTGTATTTTTTGAGTAGAATGTATAGTTAAGGCGTTTAAAAATTATGTATTTTTGTTTAAAATAAGTTATCAAACAAATACCAATCCTTGCTAGTACATTGTTTTCATATAACATTTGTTTGAACTTTTTATTTGGCATTATCGGTCATGTCCTGATGATTAAAATAATTATCTTACCTTCTAAATGCTTTGAAAATGCGACTGGTACATCCAGAGGTTAATAGATTCATACAAACTTTGCAGTTTTCTCCAGTTTTAACATCTACCATTTAGTTTACATCAATATTAATGAATAATATAGTAAAACTTTATTTGCAGTATGGATTTTATATAACCATTCATGTAAAAAATGTTCGGCAAGATCTCTGGAAGGCTTACCATGCAGCGAACCAAAATGCTCCACTTGCTGTGTTTGGTCTGTTGCCTCACGAGCATAAGATGTCACTTATGAATGTGGTACTGAAGCGGACTGGTGCCAGCGATGAGCCCATTAAAAGTAAGGAGAGGCTAATATTCCAAGTGGGATACAGGAGGTTCATTGTAAATCCTATATTTAGTCAGCACACTAATGGTAGTAAACATAAGGTGAGTGGTGAATGTTTATTTATTCAATAACATACTATATGGGAAGGTGGTACCATATCAGGCGGGCTAAAAATACATTTGTGCATGGCTCACACATTCCCTATTAGTTTATTAATTATAGAAAAGATTTTTTATATGAATGATTTAATATGAATGTTTTTGTTTTCTATTTTTCATAATTCTTTGATTTTGTTTCAGTATGAAAGATTTTTCCAGCCAGCATCTACATGTGTTGCCACATTCTTTGCTCCAATTCAATTTAGTCCATCAACTGTATTATGCTTTAAGGTGAGTTTACATAATTAGTTAATTAATTTAGATTTTTTCCTTGTATAATATTAAATAGGATATTATAATGTATATTAAACTGAATTTTCAGGAGAAAAAGAACACAAAATTGCAATTGATTGCTTCTGGTGTGTTGCTATCATGCAATCCTGACAGGTTGATTATCAAAAGAATTGTACTCTCTGGACATCCATTCAAGGTAATTTATTTATATTAATAAATTAAATTGTCGATTTAAAAACATGGTTGATTGTTTACTGTTCGTTTCAGTAAAAATTAAATATGAAAGAGTATACATATATTTAATTTTCTCCAGGTTCACAAAAGGTCTGCTGTCATACGATTTATGTTTTTCAACCGTGAAGATGTGTTGTACTTTAAACCGTGCAAGCTTAAGACAAAATATGGACGGACTGGTCACATCAAGGAATCATTAGGTATTGAATGAAGTTTAAATATTAAAATAGAAGACCCATTTAAATTTAAGTACAGATATAACAATACAATAATATGTATTTTGTGACGAATCAAACAACTGTTTGATAGCTTGAAGATATAGTGCCCATTTATAATTTTCTTTCGGGCTACGATGATGATGATAATTTTTAGTTGTAGTATAGATTTAATGTCAAGGTAAAAAACAATCGGCTCTTTAGTCAATCAATGAATAACCTGAAGACAGTAAACCCCGTTGATGTAGGATTATTGTAATTTAGTGAATTAAAATACTAAATACATATATTCAATCATGACTCACTTAGTTCACAAATTTCACACACGAGAAATACATTTGTAATTGATTGCATTATGTTGTATTTCGATGGTAGAGTGCGATTAGGTAACGAAACTACTGAATAAGTGTCATGACATCTTAGTTCTCTGTGATCGTAATTCATGAGATATACCACGGGTCTCTTATAATGACGTAATATCCGTCGATAGATCGCTGGCTGGTACATGTAGATAGCTGGCGGTTAGCACATAGAAAACACGTGGGCCAACTAGTTTACATTGTAATTACACATAACTGTTACAGGTACCCACGGGCACATGAAGTGCGTATTCGATGATCAGCTGAAGTCACAAGACACAGTGCTACTGAATCTTTACAAACGGATGTTCCCTAAATGGACGTACGAGAACTGCATCGTCACCGACAGAGATAGCAATAGCGATGTCATGGAGTCATAGATTAAAAATAAAAGTTTTTATTAACCAAATCAACTTTGTTTATATTTACTTATTCACATGCAAAGATTTATTATAAAGGAGTCTTTGTGTAAAAAGAATATTACTATACGAAAGAACCAAGCACTACATATAATAAAAATGTAACTGATTGCTCTCTGTACACGAAATATTTACGAGAAAAACCATTATTTCATTTTATCGACGTATTACAAACCAAAATGATGTTAGACATGTTGTTTGAATATGTGTGCAGATCGTTGACTATTGGGCCACATTACTTACGATATCAAATCCACGCTATTCCGCTTGAAAAAAATCTGACTAATTCCTGGTGAATTTTCCACTATAGGAACTGACTTTAGTCTGCTTTTTTAAACATTCACTCCATGGGCTGGTGAAAGGTATTGGAAGATATTTTCCACATAAAAAGGTCGCTTCATCCACGAAGGGTAAAATTGGCAATAAAACATCAAAGTTTATATTTCCACATCTTTATTGACACATGAAGCGCGAAGGCCTACGCACAGTGAACTTTGAAACAGCAATCTCTTCGCCACTATTCTAACGTTAACCATAATCTCTGGTAGGTCAGGGCAGTGAAACAAATATGCTTCTAGTACATGTGATACAAGTCGATAATTAAACACCGCGCGTATATCATAGTACTTATATTATGGCATAGTCTAAGACTCCATTGTCAGTTATATAAATAATGACTCCAAAAATCACTCAGTAATAGTTTGACAGTAATAAGTCCTAAAATGATACCCTACTATCCAGAAGCGTGGGTAAAAATACACATGTCTACTTATAAAAAGAATCAAACGTCTGTTACACCTTTTGAAGGATTGTTTTTTTATTTTGTGTTAAAGTTTTAATTTATAAAAAACAACAAAACACAGAAATAATTTATGGATTTAGTAAATTATACACGAAATTATTTTCCTGATACATATTTTATATATATAGCTGTCATCACGTTGTTTTAACCTCTAATAACAAATGTGGAAAGAAATGAAAGATTAGCTCAATATCGGTGCGGGTACAATTAGTAGTGGTGTTACACTACGTAATATATACGTAATACTCTACGTCTGAAGCTAGCAGTGAATTTAAAACAAAAACCTTTTCAACTAGTGTAAAATCAAAGTTTTGTGACTGGGCCACGTTTGGTATTTATAAGTCTAGGGCTAATCTTTACGAACTTTACGAAAAACGAAGCTATATATCCGATCCCTTATTTCATGAACATGTAAAATCTTATTCGAAAATATTTAAAAAGGTTTGTCATACAGCTAAGTCTCTCTATTTAGGTAAAATAATAACTAAATCTAAAGATAAAATAAAAGCCACTTGGAAAGTAATAAATAGCGAAACTGGAAAAGTTAATTTTCAAAATAGTAAAATAGCTTTAAATATTAATAACAAATTGGTAAATTCCGACACAGAGGTCGCGGATACATTCGAATCTTATTTCACTAATATTCCATTAATTACGACACAGGCTCTAAAACCCGTCTGCTGCTGAAACTTTACTAACAGACAATGTTAGCAAGTCATCAGCTGTATTTAACTTTAGACATACATCATCAGTAGAAATAATGAAAATATTCAAACAGTAATAATAAAAAAACAGAGGATCTATGGGGTATATCTGTTAAAATACTAGATAGTATAATGGAAATTATTGCCCTCTCTTGCTTTTATTTTCAATAAATGTATAGATTAAATTTCCTAACATAATGAAAATTAGTAAAATCATACCGCTTTTTAAATCTGGAGATAGGAGTGACCCAATAAATTATAGACCTATATCTATACTCCCAGCACTCAGTAAAATTTTTGAAAAAATAATCCTTATGCAGCTTGTCAGTTATTTCAATTTAAATAATTTAATCCACAATAGTCAATTCGGTTTTTCCAAAGGTCGTTCAACTACAGACGCAGGTTTTAGACACGTATTTGCTGCATGGGAAACTAAAATGGATGCGATAAGTGTTTTTTGTGACCTTTTAAGGCTTTTGATTGCGTTGATCATAATACATTGCTAAAAAAACTTGCTTTTTATGGCGTCAAAGATAATGCTTTAAATTTAATAAAATCTTATCTATCTGATAATTAGTGAAGGTTAGCAACGCTACGTCTGACGGGTACACTTGTGCAAATGGGTGTATCAAGGATCTATTCTCGGTCCATTTTTATTCCTAGTTTACATTAATGATCTCCCATATGCCATGCAGTATAGATGCGGCATAGTATTATTTGCAGACGATACTTCATTGATTTTTAAAGTTAATAGAATGACTAATAATTATGACGATGTAAATAGTGCTTTGCGGCGTCTCCTGCACTGGTTTACAACTAACAATCTTATGTTAAACGCTAAAAAACAAAATGTGTTAATTTCTCTCTGTCTAAAAGTTTTAATACTAATTGCAATATTAAATTAAATGACGAATCTCTCGAATTTATAGAATCTACTGTCTTTCTAGGAATCACACTAGATAATAAAACATGGTGCACAAATTCAAAGCCTTGCAGCGAAACTAAGTTCAGCAGCTTTTACATGCGTAATAGACATACTGATTCTGCTAGATTAGTCTATTTTAGTTATTTTCATAGTTTACTCTCTTATGGAATATTACTGTGGGGAAAAGTGGATGATATTAAAAATATATTCATATTACAAAAACGTGCCGTTCGAGCGATCTACCAGTCGTGACTCATTTTCAAAAGGCAAATATTCGTTGCTTCTCAATTTATATATTCAAATATCCTATATGTTCATAAAAATCTTGACTTATTTCCAAAAAACAGCAATATTCATAATATTAATACAAGATTTAAAGACAAACTTGCTGTCCCCAAGTATCGTTTAGAAAAAGTTAATAGGTCTTTTATGGGAATAGGTATAAATATTTACAATAAGATACCAAAGGATATGTTGGAATTACCCTTAAATAAATTCAAAACATCTGTTAAATCATATTTACTAAGCAAAGCCTATTACTCACTAAACGATTACTTGAATGACGAGTGTGCATGGCAATAGTTGTTCATGCACTGAATTTTCATTTAATGTTAGACATAGACACCTATATAAATATACATTGTAAATAAACTGGCTTTAAAAAAAAAAGTAATTCAATTGAGTTTCTTGCCAGTTCTTCTCATTTGGATCTATATACCGCACTGGATGGTGGAGAAAAAATTATAATGTAAAAATTTGACGTTCATAAGCGGCTAAAATGTCCTACATGAATAAATGATTTTTGAATTTGAATTTGAATTTGTAAAATAGACCCAAATTTCGTTATACACAAAGTAATCTAAGAAGCGATCCAAGTCGCTTCCTACTGCTGCTTCGATGTTAGCCTTGATTTTAGTGTCGTGTGAAGACCTTTAATAATAATCGACTTGTGTCACATGTTAGAGTGAATTGTTGTAAAAAATGTTATAAAGTACAAATTAGTTAAAAAATATGTCCTTTTAAAATTATTACGTTAATAATTTTTTTAAAGAAATAAAATTATAACTTGCTTACAGGTGGGAGAAAATAAACAATACTTTTTCTTGTGTATTTATAACGTTTTTTGCAACTTACATAGATATTAATAATTAATAGATTACAAACATGTAGACAATAAATTCAATCGAGACGAATGCAAACACTTGTACTATTCGGTGATTACAAATTTGAATATCTAAATTATAAAACAATTCTACTAAGGAATATTTAAAAAATGGTAGAAATTTACACTCCAGCAGGTACATAGTATATAATACGGTATGTTAAGTCCAATAGGAACAGTTTAAAGTTCCATTTTTAAAATATCGATTAGTATCCCTAATAAAAGATTAACATTTAAAAATTTCTCAACCACTTCTACTAAAATGGTATTATTTTTAATTAAGCAGTTCCAGCTGCTTCATTAAAATGAACCATAACGACATAATTTTTGAGTCTAAAGTAGATTGTACGATATTCCTCTAATTTTCTGGGAGATGAGTTAGATATCTAATGAGAAGGTGAGTGGATATTTAAAAATATAAGTAGTTCACAATACTAAATGCATATCCCATCGACAATACCTATTAATTGACATCAAATAATTACCTATATAAAGGTAATAGGACACTATCTTCATAACGGGTTCCAACCTACATAAATCTTTTATATCATTTGAACACTAAAATATCCATTCCCCAAGTGTGAATTATTTATCAAATACACATTTTTTTTATTTAAATTCATGTGGTGACTAGTACTATAAACGTACATAGATGTTAACGCTCACATTTTAATACTGTACTAGAATTAAAAAAATATTGGTAATCTATTTGTTTCTGAGATATGATTATTATCTAGATATCAACATACATACGGGAGATTTCGACAGTGTAAATTATTATAATAATAGAGATCATAGAGACGTATTGTACGTAAATTTATCAGTTGTAGACTGTGACATTCAATATAAAAATGGATTATTGATATTCTATTATATTGTTAATACAAATTGGTATTAATCGTTTAATATTTTTATGGTTAAAACAATTTTGGGTTCATTCCTTTCGTGTTCATGTTTTTTATATACTGTATTGTCTAGATAGAGACATGAAATCAGTATTCCTACTCAAACGTTTAAATACTGAAATTCACTCAATAAAATTGGGAAATACACAATTTTTTTAAACGACATATGCTTTGCTTAGGACTTTAAAAATATTACATTGAATATAGATAGTAATGCATTTAGTATGTGGTGTGTAGGCTTTAAGAAAATTTCTATTAGAAGTCCGTCTGGGCCAAATAAAAGTACAGTCTTCAAATAAATTTTCTGTTTCTTTCGAGCAGAGATTTTAAGTTGAAAATGAATTTGAACGAAATACTGAATAGTGACAATGGAAGATTCTTAAAACTTTACATCGTAATATGTAATTATTAATTAATAAATTCACTTCACTTTCAATTTAGCGTATTAAATGCAAAGCTAATTTATTTACGTTACACTAAAATGAATCTTGACTAACTATCACAAACTTAAAAAGTAAAAAATATTTTCATTAAAAAAAAAGAAGAAAATTGAAAGTTAATTAACTTGTTAAATATTTTAAAGGACACCGCTCAGGCATGACTTGAACATCGGTAAAAATCATTTACTATTAATTTATTTCATATTACTTTATTAACTTTTATAAATGATAGGTTGTCAATTATTAAAATTAAATCGGTTTCTCTTAACACCAACATATCAGTAACCAATCCATTCACATTTTCTCGTATTTTTTTTTTAATGTCCTGGCAAATAGCCAAATAGCCCCATATCAATTGGATGCCAAATCTTTACTAGATATGTCTTTTATGGTCTGATGTGAGATCACACTGCGTTTTTATCTTAAGCGCTAGATGGCGCTAGCGTCAAATGTAATTGTGATTTAGAAAAGCACTTAACCGTTATGTTACAATTAGTATTTATTGAAAAATTAAACCGACTTCAAGTCATGCCCTCAGTTTGTCGATGTGAGTCACAATGAAACTAACCTAATAGGTACGTCAGCGAATTCGACTAATTTGAATACCTCCTTCGAGTTTAGTCCTTTTTACTCCATAACTATCATAGGTTTTTATTTTTTTGACCGGGTAAAATTTTGTATATAATTTTTAAAGCAGGTTTCACAGTTTGTAAGTGAGATATCGATTGGGACTTTATCATAGAACTTTTATCTGGTTAACATTATATATATAGGTTCATATATAGGTTCATTCATATTTATAGGTTCTAATACATAATTAGAAACTGATATTAATTACTCATTATTAAGTTAAATATGTATTGTTATTATTTTTAATATTAATGATAGAGTACATAGCTCATCAAATATAATATACGACAAATTATCTAAATATGTTGCTATATTATGATAATGTAATAACCATTTTAGTGACTGACATTCTGTTTGACGCTGTTTTTTATTATGAAACAGCATGATATTTTGTATCCACTCTTTGGGTATCGGTTCTATGATAAAACCCATAAAACGATGAACGCTTGACTCTACATTGGAGTATGACTATATTAAAAAATATTACCGTCTCCAATAATATATCCTTGATATGAAACAATTTATATACTAAACCTAATCAGTTTCTATACATATTCGATTTTCGTTTCTCAATCAATTAACAATATATTTTAAGAGCTAATAATACTCATCCGAAGAATGATTACTAGATCTCTGTTTGCATAGTAAGGATATATTTTTATTAATCAATATAATATTTAATTGGTAACGGATAAGACTAAAGAATAGCTTGTTGTCGAAAACAGAGATTATTACAAATATAAAATTAAATATTTTGACAAAAAAATGTTATAGAAATTTTATGCTAATGATTTTTTAAGTATATACAGGGTCAGTTATAAAGTACCAAAAGGCAAGTGAAATTGAACCATATTCACTTAGAAACAAAGTAGAAATGTGTAATATGTATTTTTAAATTGTCATACTAAATTTATTATTTTTAATTATCCAACTTCCTATATGGGTGTCATTCATAAATTATGTGACATGTTGAGGGTACGGCAGTAGTTCTAAGTGTGACATTGTGGGGTGGGGCCCTAAATTACGGGACAAAATGTAATACATAATGTATATAAAACACCACATTTTACTACCGACAAAAATCTTTAAAATATTTCCAACTTCATCCGTATAACATAAAGATTAAATTGTTAGTTCACTAGTGTAAAATAGCAAAATATGTGATGTGTCCAGAGAGAGAAGGAAAGATTGATGCGTAAATCAATAATGAAATACGTATGTCATAGTTGGTACGGGACCATTTATAAATTAGAGAATATTCTGCAGCATCATCACTACTAACAATGGTGTGTACGCCTGTAAATTTCTATTAGCAAAAATATGTAATACTAATAATGATTGCTATGTAAATATTTCAGGCGCTTCGCAATTTATAAACTATGTCAATATTATTTTTTATTCTTATTATACACGTGCCGCCAACATTTTATGCACTATTATTTTAAAACACATTAATAATTTTATAATTCCAACCACTGGTTATAAGTTTAGTACATTTATGACTGACCCCGTATATTTGTAAGTGTGATTTGCACAGCGAATATGTTGTGAAAAGTAAATGAAATATTAAAATACAATACTTGAGTAAACTGGGGTCAAGGTTCATCGGCATCGATCAGCTATGGGCAGGAGTACTACAGGATGGATTACACTTTAGCTTTCTTATTGCGCCTCTTCTTGGCATCACACTCAGGCGGCTTGCTGTTGTTTGCTGGCGACGCGCCCGACTTACTGTACAGGTTGTTCAAGAATTCTTCCAGATTCGGGTCGTGGCTGTAATGATTTCGTGATAATTGGTAGGTAATATTTACAGACACTGTGTTTTATGACGTGACCATAGTTATTATTATTATTATTACCGTAACTTATACAATAATAATAAATAAGGAAGATAAAACATAGTAACGAAATTAAGCAGAACTTGTACTCTGGGTGAGAAACATCTGATAGAAATATTTAAATAATAAGTAATATAATATGGATTACTAGCTGACTAGCGTAACTTCGTCTGCATTAAACTTATTTGACATTTATCGTTATATTTGTGCAATATTGCAATTTATGCAATATTTTTTTTAAATTATAGCCTATGCATGTTCTGATGTATAAGCTATATTACATGCGTTCAGTTTTTACGTTACAGTCCATACTAAATAAATCCATCCATACTCACAAACTTTCGGGTTTATAATATTTATAAGATAAGAAGTAAGATTGATGTCCTATGTCAATATACATAGAAAACAGCAGGCCAATACAAACAATCATACTCATGAACAGAAATGTTCGAATAAAATGTTGTATCGAGGAAAGAATCGAACCCGCGAAATGAAATATATGATATATAACATGAAAATAGATCCTATTCTATAGATAAGACGGACAATTTCATCCAAAAATAGCAGATGAGGTCGTGGTAGCATTTAGTTTAAATAGAATAAACTGTAATACAGATCACTAGGCCTTCTTTCACACATGCCTGTATAAATATATGAATACTTATACAGTTGCGTAAAACTATAGTAGTTTCGTAATATAAATAAGGCTTACCCGGTGGAAGGTCGCTGGTTAAGCTCTGAGGCTGCGGCTGCCTTGTTACCGAGCACGATGCGGTACTGCACCACGTGGCAGTCAGGCCGCAGTTGTTTCAGATTCTTCTTCTATATACAATAAAAAAAACACTTATTAAATAGCTGTTTAATGCAGCGTTTCCATTATTATCTTATATATAAAATTCTCGTATCACAGGGTTAGTACTACTCCAAAACGGCTTGACCGATTTATGAAATTGTATTTTTCATACCCCTAAGTGATAAGGGTTGTACACCCCTAACGTGTTTTTAATTTTTTTATAATGTGTCATTAAAAATACACACAACAACAAATTTTCACTCTTCTATCATTAACCCTTATTTTTTAATAGTGATTTTAATTTATATGGTTTGCCATATAAATTAAAATCACTATTAAAAAATATAACATTTGCCGGGTTAGCAAGTATATACAATATTTATAAAAGTGCGTGATAACCATCAAATAAACGATTTATCTATCTGTCCCCATATCGCAAAAAAACCGATAGTGTACTCTTATACAAAAAACATAAGTCGCACTTCTATAATTTAGTACCCTAAAGGCACTATTATTACATTTACATAAAAAAACCTATACTGACCTGGCAGCTGGCCCACTGCGTGATTTGGTAGACGGCGCCGTCCATACACGCGTAGTACATCACCAGCAGGCCGATCATGCTCGACTCTGCCCATATGTCACCCTAAATATTGTGCATAACATATAATTTCTTAGTTAACAAAAGTTATGATTTGTCGATCGTTATTAATTTACCCTTTTAACGTTAGATGACGCAGAATTTCTATTGAATCTATTGAATCGTTAATACTAAGATAATTTTATGTTAAAAAGGTTGTTTAATACAGTTTTCAATAGTTTAGTAGTGGATGTCCATGTTTGCGGATTTCATACAACGAATTGTTGTTTATTATGGTCTGGCTGCTTTTTACGTATTACGTATGTATTTAAAAAAAATAAGTATTTATATAAGTTGTTTAGTACCCATAACACAAACTATGTTTATCGTGGGATTAGATGGCGCTGTGAGATATTATTATTATTTAGTGCCTGCACAATTTGAACTCGCGATGGCTTTCGGGCTGTCATCAACTTGTACATCACTCATCCAAGACACTACGTCAGTGAATAATGGATTTATATTATTTTTTAATTCCGCTAAAATTAGCTTCATATCTCTTATAATACAGTCATTTGGTGCTAAAAAATGAGGTTACGTACGCTAAAACTATTGATTTGACAAAAAAAGGTTATTACATAAATTATAGGAAATTTTCTCTAGTTTAATTTATTATATAACTATTTTGATCGTAAAATGAGTCGGAAAGGAGATATTGTCAAAAAACTGTTTTTGACGCCATTTTAACAATATGGCGGCGTGAGCGGCAAAGATACGAAGTGGCAAAGTTGAAATTCGCAAAGAGCACATCGAAATCTATAATATTACCAATTTTCAAAACTCCCGGAAAACTTTCTAGGTAAAACTACCAAATGATTGTACATTGTTCGATCGACGATCGATTCGAATAACGACCTAGTAACGTAATTTTGATCACCATAAGAGAAGGTCGTAATGGTAATCAAGTTTCTGTGATCTCACACATGCTAATTGTAGCGGAATCAAACAAAATAATATAATTTAGTTAAGTAGTGAATAACACCTACTTCGATAAAATAAAGACACTACAGTATTAAATAAGATAAATGTCATAGGGAGTACGTTGTATGTGTACCTCTTTCGCGGAGTGTCGTATGCGACAGGTGGCGCAGTAGCGGGCGGCGTAGCACGGCCTCTCAGTAAGAACACGTTTGTGGCGACGCCCGCAGTTCGTGCACCTGTACATCATAAGAAATAGAAATTACCTTCATTCAAATAAACTTAATATAAGCACTTTTGAATAGTCGAATTTCATGATTCTACCACTCATTCGAAACGCAGACTCATCACAAGAAGAACGAGGAAGAAACTTGTAAGTTGCTCTTTTAAACGCCCTCCGATCGATCCCCCATCCAATTCAAACGGGGATCAAAATTATGACGGCCTGAGCCGAAGGTCGAACCCCTAGCGGTACCCTCAGACTAAAGTCGTATCCATTAGGCGGGAGTTCACCTTCAGCCGCTCCGTAAGTCCTTTCGAGGGCTGGAAGTGTCATCTGCCATCTCGCCCTCTGTTGTTCGGTGAAGCTGTAAAGGCCAGTAGCGGCCAACAGCATTAGAGTAGTCCGAAAAAAAAACTTTTAAATAAGTATTGTTCAGAATTACATTTTTAGGAATTTTGTGTGAATATATACTGCTACATAGCAAAATGGACATAAATACATGATTAGTTACTTGGGTAACAAAATAAATCATAGTTATCAGAACAGACCAGTCCCTACAAGCAGCACCCGTTATAACGCACAAACAATACCTGCCTGATAAATATTTAATTTTTATCAGGCAGGTATTGTTTGTATATTATTTGGTATATTATTTGTATAGATAAGATTGAAATTGAAAAAGGTTTTTTGACGGCCTGAAGATAGTATACCTGATGGTGTTGGCGGCGAATTCCATTTTATCGTGAAGCTGAGCCAGTAGGTGGCTGAACTCGCTCCAAGCTGCCTCCACGTGCCGCGATTCTAGCGCACGTCTTTCATACGCCTCGCGACGCTCCTGTTGGTCACCAGAGATTTGATTCATGTAAATTTTTACTAGAGGTAAAAATCGTTTGCATTGGTATCTCAGTCTCAACTATTTAAGGCGCCAAGCAGTTTGCTTTGTAAGCACAAAGTAAGCTGTTTGTTTAGATTGTAGGGTAGAAATTAGGCAGTGAAATTACAGAATATACGGGTTTACAACTTAGTATATATAAATTTCTACAATACAATTATTGTAGAAATTTTGATTGTTGCTTGTTTGTCAGTTTGTTTACCATTTCAATCTCAATGAAAAGCCAATCTAATTACATGAAAAAACATGATAACGAATGCCATTTCAAACAGAAATTATCGATCGACAATTTCGCATTTGAACAAATTATCAATTACAAACTTTTATTGGACAATAAATATATTTGATAAAATCATATGTTAATTATCAATATTTTATGTTTAAGTATCATAATATTTTTCACTTACAAATTTAAATATTTGTGAAATATTGTTATTTAATAATAGTTCACAATTTCAAATCCTTATTAGACTGCAAATACAAAACAATATACATAGCTGTTTATAGCTATTCCTTTTCCTTTAATGCGCTATATTAAAAACAGTTGAGAGCCCTCCATTATCCTCCCCATATAAAAAAATAAAAAATATATACTCACAGGCTCTCCAATAAGTTCAAATGCATGCTGCAGTATTTTGAACGCCTCTTCAGCGCCGGGCTGTTGGTTCTTATCGGGGTGCACGAGGAATGCTTGCCGTCTGTAGTAACGCTTTATCTCTTCGTCTGTACAGGTCACGCTTACGCCCAGAATACTATAAACAAAGAAAAAAAACAAATCTTAATTTATCGCAAATAAAAAATCATTACAATTGCTGCTTATAATGTAAAAAAAAAGTTGTAATGTAAAAAAAAAAAAAATTGTAAAACATCTATGTCAATGAAATAAATTATTATTATTATTATAATAAAATTAAGGTATAATAATCGAGATTAAACGGTCTATAACTCAGAGGGAGCAGTGAGTCCCTCTGTCTACTCTACTTACTATTCTGTTATAGCTTTTATTAGTAAATATATGCAATAAAAAGACACGACGACATAGCAATAAAGTTCAAAACTTTCCTGAAGTTAATTACACAGTAATAAAATTACTCAAGCTAGTATCCATGTATCCAGCACGATATGGATGCTGATTTGTGGTCGACATTAACTCCTCTAACAATCAAAAACATGTTCATGTTTGACATGAGTGTCAAGTCTTTTTATGAATGCTTTTTGTATTAATATTTTTTCCCTGCCGTCCAGTTCAGTATACAGATTCATTTGAGAAGAACTGGCAAGTAACTCAACTGTATTTCTTTTTTTTTAAGTCAGTTTATTTACATTATTTACTGATAATGGTGTCTATGTCTAACCTGAAATGAAAATTCTGAGCATGAAATATATTATTTAAGTAATTGTTCAGTGAGTAATAGGCGTTGCACAATAAATATGAATACGATTTAACAGATGTTTTAAATTTATTTATAGGTAATTCCTACATAGTCATTGGTATCTTATTGTAAAATTTTATACCTTTTCACATAAAATACCCATTGACTTTTTCTAAACGATACTTAGGAACAGCTAGTTTAGTTAGCATAACTTCAAGTTGCTATTGCTTTTGTTTTTGTGTTGTGTATAGTTTATTTCAATATTGTTTATTTGTTCAAAAGCGTAAATAAATCCTATCGTATAATAATGCCTATAGTGATAAGCAAACAAAAGTAATAACGGAACAATAGTGTACATGAGTTTTATAATGAAGGAAACAATAATAGTGCAATCATTGTTTGTAGCCTGCTGAAAAAATAAAAAAACATTTATTTGTAACCTCGACAATATTAATATACCTACTATGTATATAGTTTACATATTAAAATATCGTAGGTAGGTATATTGAACACATTAAATTTCAGAACATTCATGATTTTTACACTATTCATAAGTGTATAAATATGTTATATATGAAATGCATATTATATAACAATAATAATAGAATCCGATAATTCACGCAGCATCATGCTGTTCCAAGTTAAACAGAGATGTTGTTACGCTTTCTTGTAATAACTTAATATTAGCTTGGAGAGAATGTCATACGGCATTAAGTTCGCCTTTTGTACAAGAGTTATTGTTCAATAATCTATACGTATCAATAAAATTGGGGTGTCTATAATAGTGTAACATTGAAATAATCGTTTTTTACTACATGCATATAAATATATATATGGTACATACACCAAAATAACATTTTCTACAATTTTTGTCTATCTGTTTCTTCTAGCTAATCTCTGAAATTGCTGGACCGATTTTGACGGGACTTTTTTCGCCGGTAGCTGATGTAATAAGGAGTAACTTAGGCTACTTTTATTTTAGAAAAATAAAGTTATATTCCAAGCAGCCGAAGTTGCGAGTACAGCCAATAATAAATTAATATCTTGCCATAAATATATATTGTAACACAGCCACTCACCTATATGGATCTTTTCCTTTGCATGCTAACAATCTCTTCATAGCCTCATCACCAGTTGCAGGCAGTGGGATGTTTGTATTTAACTTCGTTGAACCATTAGATGACTCTGAATCTGCTTCTAATTACAGGAAACAAAAAAAAATTGTATGAGTTAATGTTTAACTAGCGATCATTAGCGCGGGCTGCTGTCAGCACTCCAGAGATAAATACAACATAACTACTGTTATCTTGGATATGGTCAACAGAAGCATTATTATTTGGTAATGTCATGGTCAATATAACATTTGACTTGCTTTCTCCGATCGATCCCCAGTCTAATCCAAGCGGAGTCGAATTTGCGACGGCCTGAGCCGAGGTTCGATCCCATACCGCTGCCCTCAGACTAAATTCGTATCCTTCAGCCGCTCCATAAGTTCTTCCGCGAGTTTGGAGTGCCATATGCACTCGCCGCCTATCATCCCGTGAAGCTGTAAAGGCCAGCTACGCCCTTGTTGGCCGCAGCTGTCCTTTACCACGTTTATTAGAATAGTCCGTAAAAAAAAATTGACTTGCCCACATATCATTAGGTATATTTGAATTGAACGTGATCGAGCCTCCCGCCGTCTATCCGATAAATGATGATGATGATGATGATGATGATATATTCTTTATTGCACAGATAATATATATACTTATATTGTTTAATTTTATCATTTGGTTATATGGGATGGGCATTACACAGCGAGTGACCTCGGCTTAAAAGTCAATAGCATCCAATTTTATAATTAACTATCGACCCGCTCTGGATTCGCCCGGACGCAATTATTTTAATGATATCTAATATTTTTTAATGATTACCGCAATTAAATAAATGAAAGCAAAGTGTAATTTATTAAGTTTTGTCATATTTTATCAGCATACAGCGGAAACCGGTAAAAATAGCTCGATTCATAATGATTCATTTCCACTTACATATTTCTGTGTAATGCCAATAAATTTATTCTCAATTTTTTAAATTTTTTTATTTGGAACGCGAACAATAATAATAATAATAATCTCAGGACAATTAACACAGCGCCATCTAGACCCAAATTAAGCTAGCTAAAGCTTGTGTTATGAATACTAGATAACTGATACATATACATAGATTTTTTTTTGTAAATACATACATATTATACATAGAAAACAACCTGACCGATACAAACAATCATACTCATGAATACAAATGTTTGTGCCGTGCGAGGAATCGAACTAGCGATCATCGGTCGTAAAGCGGTGTGCTAGACCGCTAGACCACCAAGGTCGTCGAACGGCGAATAAGCCTGTAAGCGGTGACTTTCGCCTGTATATTGTACATCGATAGTCACTATATATACGTCATCATGTGATACCCATTATACCATATATGCATCACCATTCTAGAGGACTAAGATATGATGCATATTGTGTATAAGCTGATTTTACAGGTGTTTGGCGGCTGAAATAGGTGAGACGTAAGTCAGACACACACAGACGACGTTCTACAGTCTAACCCAACTATGAACTCCACGCAAAATATTAAACATATAATATTAAATACAGTGAATTTAACATAATGATTTCCAGAGAGAACCATGTGGACATCGACCTGACATGGTACAATGCTGTTCCACCATTACTAACAATTCTCTTTTCCTGCAGTTTTGATAGGTCAGAACTGGGATCATGTTCAAATTGTATCAAATATGTAGATGACTGTTAAAGCAACAATTAAGGTTTATTTTATATACAGTCTACTTACATTTCCATTCCATTAGGGTATAGAGAATTAATTATATTCGTAACATTCATTATCTTATTTCATCATTGCAGTTTGGTGCATGTCATCATACTACACACATTGAAAAGTATGATATCAATTTAAGAAAGAGATAATTACCATTTTTAAACCACTTAAGTCTCCTCCAAAACGCAAATCTCGTATGTCCAAACTTTCTGTCAATGTACATCAAATATTTGTTGTCTTTCATCTTGGACAACCAATCTTTGCTGCTACGCCAGACCGCTTGGGAACTTACATAGGTCTGTGTGAACACAGATGTGCATCTGTGGAATTAAATTAATTTATGAATTAAAATATATAAAGTAATATCCAGTTAAAAGAAATATAAACTTTAAAAATACAAATGTAGAGAAAAAAGTTACAACATTGCAGGATTTCTGTCATATACTGTTATGACCAAAACAGAAAGAATTCTATTCATTATTTACATAAAATTAAAATACAGACTCTTTCTATATATTCCAGTAGAATTATATATTTTTTTATACTACAAATAGTTTAATAACTATTTGTAGTATTTTTATCATTTTTTACCAATAAAGATACCAAACACCTATTGTGTATAATGATTATTCAAATAAAAATAAAATGACTATTATTAATATCAGAGAATTGTTGTAATTTAAGTTTATACTATATACTACTAGCAATTACTAAAAAGAAATATATAATATAATATATTTTTTACTTACAAGTCAAAAGAAAGGTGAAAACTCATACGACATATATCCGATAGTAGATATGCAAACCACACCAGTGCCTTCCAGGTCACACTGCTCCAGTGCTCAAAATAATTCTGAGCCAATCCTAGATAGCCCGGTTTGTTTCTTCTAACTTTAGTTTGACTCACTTTCTTTTTGTCCTGTACTGGTTTAGTAGATTTATGGTAATTACGATTGTCTTTCTTCTTTTTCAATTTTGAGATTTCATTTGGATTTTCTTGTAGAATGAATTGTGAATCATCATCCTCGTCAAGCTTGAATTCATCCTCAAGAACAGCATTTTTATTTGCCTTTACCTTATTATCCAGTTTCTTCTCCCTTTTAGGTTTTTCTTGGTTTTCTATGAACACAAATTGGCTTTCATTACCATGTTCATAAGTCCCATCTTCTTCGTTAGTTATATCATCCAGAGACGACCATTTACGAGTCATATTGCCTCTCTTATTTTTAGATTTCTTGCTCGGTTTTTGTTTTTCTGTATCATCAGTATTGATATCACCAGACTCACTACCCGATGATATAGTGCTTTGTTGCTTTTTATCATTTTTATGTTTGTTATCATCATTATGCTTTAGATTAGCAGTAGGCTTATCTGGCTTTGAGTTAGACTTGTTAGTCTTAGTTTCTGTGTTTTGAGGTTTTACTTTAGTAGCAGCCTCCAACTGGGAGCTGTTTTTTGTATTTTTAGCCAACACATCAGAATATGTGGGACGCATTGGTTTCACTTCAGCCACAATCCGTTTTTTATTACTTGTATCAGCTAAAGGGCTATTCTCATTCCTTTTAGGAGAGTTGTCAGTTTTTATAGCCTGAGCCTTAGTATCAATGATGGGATTTGGCATCATATTTAAAGTGGGTGCATCAGGATGGTTTAGTGGATAGTTTTGACCAAACGGAGAGTATGTCCCAGTGGAGTTTGGTTCAAGGTTACCCAGAAAATCTTTTAAGAAATTGGGTGTTGTTTCATTTCCACTATCAGGGCAAAAACTGTTCTGCACATTTGGAGGTACATGTATATTGTTGTTTGTAGAGTAATCCTGATTTGTAGCAAACATTTGAGTTGCTTGCGACTGTATTGGCACTTCACGTAGACCTTGGTTGTGGTTGTACAACTCATACTGCGACAAGGGCATGATCAGCGGTTGGCCGTTTTCATCGTAATGCACATAGACCTTTAGTGATTGGCCATCGCCCCAGTTGAGTGTGGCATTACTATAATTTTGTCGATTAACGTGCGGAAGATTTTGCATGTTATTAAACCCGATCTTTTCGTCTTTATTTGTACCGGGGTCACCTGGTAGAACATTATATGAATGCTTGTTACCATAAATATCACTGTTATAATTTGCATTCACATATACACTGTTATCGTTCATAGCACTGGGACTCGACGTAATTGGTGTCTGTTGTCTATCGTTTAATGCACCAGGTGCACATTTTTCGGCATTTTCCGCACCATAATTCCATGCATCATTGTATCTTGGATCATTCTTCGGCGACCTTGGCATTGTTGGTTAGTTTTCAACTGCACTGTCAACATGAATTGGCAAATAGACGATTTTATAATAAAACTCAGTAATTTGGCATTTTATTACCAGAATTTCATTATATACGACTAAAAACGTGGAAATAGGTATATTCTATTGACCATTTGTTAGGTATATATTTTTGGGGGCAGCACAGATAATAACGCTAAGCTATTTGACAATTAGACATTGACATTGACATTTCAATATTGACAGTTCAATCAGCGCTACAGATTAGCTAAAAAATATTTAAAAAGTAGTTTAATTAAAAATAATAAGTAGTTATTTAATTTAATAGTAATTTACAATCATATTGAGTGCTTGTTATTATACATCAATTCTAACTATTATTAAGAAGTAGAATGATTCTTCAGAAGTAGTTAGCCAATAATGGGCAAAATAGATATTTCAACGTCTTTCTTTTTTTCGAGTTCACGCTGAACTCCGCTTCCTTGAACCTGTTTATACTATGATTGGTGAAATCCAGCCTTAGTATTTATCATCAATACAATCAATCAACTGATTGAGTGAGTTTGAGTTTCTGGATAGAATAATAAATTATAATCCGTATATTTAATTGCCATAGCCATTTAGCCAGTCGTATAGTTGTAGATTTAAATCAAATAATCTGTAATCTCGTGAGCAAGATTTATTAAGTTCACTGCTACTTTACGAGCTACCATATTATCATTTGTGTATACTTTGTGCACCTCCCTTAAGCCACATATACTGGTCGACTTTCGTAAATTTAATTACTTTTTGAGACAATTTGAAAATTGTCCTCCACGTACATAAATTTACAAAATTTGTAATTTCAATAATTATAATAGTGCAGTCTATTGCAGAGTATCTGTAGGTATGCATAATTAAGAATTATGTAATAGTCTCATATCTGTGATAGAACGTAACAGGGTCGGGCAGACAGGTACCTACCTATGTTACCTACCTACATCATTATTATATTTATTTTTCAAGTTGGTATATATCAGATAAGTAAGTACCTACAGCATATATATCTTAAGTTGATATATCTGCTTGTACTTACTTATCTGGTAAATACAACTGTTTGTATTGTGCGGGATAGAATCCGCGACAATCGGAAAGTAAGTGTGCTAAACCGCTAGACCTAGTCGTATTCAGTTTTGACCTACATCAAAGAACAAGAGCTTACATAGAACTAGTGTCACTTGCATTTCCGGTGTATTATAAGAATAAATAAACAAAATAATAAACACTCTTACTTAGAGCGTTCTATACTTACCCATTAGAGTGTGACGACTAGAAAACCCAACCTTCACTTAGATCTAAGATTTGGTGCTTGATAGTAAAGCATCCGTTGAACGCGAACTGAGGTGAACGAATCACTCAATTTTACGGTTAACATAATTTACAGTACGTATCTAGTGCTCCTAGTCTTAGATAAAAATATATAATAGATAATTAAATAGAATTAATTTTAGGTTAACCTCTTATATTTCCATTCTCAGCGGGGCTTTAGTTTCCTGATTGTGTAAAAAATATTATTTTATTAATAATGTTTTTTTACGCTAATGTTGTTGGGTGCAGCTGGCATTTACAGTTCCACCAGACGATAGGGGGTGAGTGCAGATGGCACTCCAAACCGATAGCAGAAGAACCATAAGTTTAGGTTGAGAGTAAGTCCAAATCCTGCCTGTAATATAATGTAATGTAGCTTGGACTTGGTTTTCCGCAATCAACCTCTCATCTGGGCCGTTGTTCGTGTAGAGCCGAGACTCCTAAAGTGGCAAGCCAAGCTCCTCCCAAAAGCACAGAAGTCTCCTGGTGTCTTTACAGGCTTCGCAACCGCTAGGGATTCGAACCTCAGCTCAGGCCGTCGTAAATTCGATCCCAGTTACAGTTAAACCTACATCGTCTTTGCCCTTAGAAACTGTAATAATAATAACAATGAGAGAGGTATCACATACGCCTCATAGTGTATTTTCAGAAGTGTGGTGTACCTATATATTAATTGTAATTGCTATTTGCAATCTGTTGGTGCGAATAGTCGCACCATTATGTTCTTCTTCCAAATGTATAAACAGTTCTTTTTTACTTACTAGGTGTATAATAAGAGTCTAACCCATGAAATTCTCTGCCTACATAAATTTAAAAACAATCCTATATTGTCTATCTACCTAGGCCAGGGACTATCTATTTGTATATAGTTCCTGTCCTAGATAGATAAATAATATAGTCTGTAGTAAAATCAATCTAGGAGTTTTACTTGAACCGTACCAACTTGAACAAAAACTTTTAAAATACATTTCATAGCATTTTTATAAAATATTTAACAAATTAGATAGATAATAGTATAATGTGTAATATAAATAATCTTATATAACAATTTCAGTTTCAAATTAACTGTCGCGCGTTCTGAGCGTGTAAGTCGATTAACTTTTTCTTTCTAACAGTTGAGAAACTATTGCACGGATCAAGACTCTTTCTTGGCCATTCAGAAACAAGGTCGCTATATCGGCAAACTATAAAACTGACTGGCGGAAATATAATAGAACTGTTGCTGTTTCGCTGAAGATGGTTGATGGTGTGTTGTGCACAGTTCAATTTACTATTATGATATGTGTGCTTTTCGTGTTGACGGTAGCTACAGCTACCAATCTGCAGAATGATCCAGCCGGTCAGCAGATTGTCATGTTCAAACAGAGGACTCAGGTGAGATGCAATTTGAGATCCTCGTCTTAATACGTTAAGATTGCTAATAAGAGGTATAAAAGTAATTAGGTCTCAATTTGACAGAGTTTAATGTGGTGTGTATAAGATTGGATGACACGATAGAGGGTATATTTAATATTATAATAATAAAAGACATTTATTCAACCTGACATCCTTATGAGAATAGTATACAAGTTAATTTATTTGCAAAATTTTAACTGATTTTGCTAATTACTTTCTTATTTAGAATTGCAGGATTATTTTTTTGGATAAAGTATAAATTTAAAAAATGTAACAATAAAATAAAAAATTTTGGCTTTACTAATTTGGGAAAAATGCATTAATTTTATATTATAACTAGCTTTTGCCCGCGGCTTCACTCGCGTTATTTTGTCCCCTTAGGGGTGGAATTTATTCAAATTCATTCTTAGCGGACGGCTACGTCATAACATCTACCTGCATGCCAAATTTCAGCCCGATCCGTCCAGTGGTTTGGGCTGTGCGTTGATGGATCACTATGTCAGTCACCTTTGAGTTATATATATTTAGATTGTTACATGAATATTTATTTCTTAACATTAAATTTAAGATATATATTTTAATGTAAATTTAATGTTAAACAAGCCGTCAGCTTATATGCTGGTCAATGGCAACCGTCGTATATACATAAATGTATATACATTAACATTATGAACACTCGTAATGCGCCGTCGTATAATTCCATTTAGAAGGATCATTTTATGTCATTTGAATGGCAAAAAAGCTGACGGCCCACCTGATAGGAAGTGGTAACCGTTGCCGTTCCGTTATAATGAACAGCACCATAAACATCATGTTATGATAGGACCCCAGTGACACCACTCGTGCATTGTCATTCCGGAGCACTACGCTGTCATCTTGTAATTTTATCTCAAACCTTCAACGGAAACACACACACACACCCCACTGGAGCGGAGACAACGTTTTGAAAAGCAGTATTAAAGGTATTTCATCCCCAAAAGGGCTCACAGAGAAGTAATCTTAAGTGATATAAAATCAGATATCATTAAATAAATACAAAATTTAAAATAATGGTGGACAAGCTCCCATCATACACAGTTTATGAAGCAAGCTGCTTGTTTGTTTTGTTTGTGAGATTGAGGCACCTACGCAGAGGACTTTTTAGAAAGGTTACCTTGTCGAAACTACTAAAGTAATATGCCTTATTACTCTGTAATTTAATGCCCTATTACACTTTTTAATCGAAACACACCTTATAAAATAAAACGCTTACCTGCAAAAATAAGTCTGTCCGAGATGCCTACGCAGACGAATTTATGCAAGAATAGAATAGAAAATCATTTATTCAATTAAACTTAAGCTGTCTCATCACAAGAAGAACGAGCAAGACTCTTGTGTGTTGCTCTTTTAAATAATCATTTACAAGTCGAAACGTGTGAATACAAACTACGAACCTGCACAAATTTTTTTGGGTCAAATATATATATACAATAAGATTAAATCAGTCGTAGTAATAAGAGCAGACCAGTCCCTACAAGCAGCACCCGTTCATCCCAATGTCTATCACGGTAAACATATAATATTTAATGTTTACCATAAACAAAGTAGAATAACAAAAACTAAGCGCCTAAAAAAGTCCTTAATACTGCTATGGAATGAACTGGATAAATAAATAAAAATTATTTTCAATATATTTTGGGTCCAAGTGCTTGGAATTGTAATTTTGGAATAAATTGAACACCTGTAAATACTCTTACTTTCGCTTAATATTGATATATGAATTATATATATATATATATATATATATATATATATACATACATATATGTATATGTAGGAGTATAAAACATTATGAAATCTATATATAATCATATAAATCATACGGATATTACCGTAATATCGAATAAAGTGTTGATTGTTGAAACAAATGCAATAAGTATCTACATTTCACAATTAAACTTTATTCACATATCCTGGAAGGATCCATCAGTATGTATATGTAATATAATAATTGAACCATTAATGATATCCGATGTTTTGATTTATTATTATAGAAATACGAGTTGGAAGATTTATGTTACTTGTTCAAAAAATTAAAAGATGATTCAAGTTAACAAGAAGTACCTAATTGCTAGTTGGGTTGGATAATTGAAATGACATCATATAAACTAGGCCGAGTTAAAAAAATGTACTACGTATTTTGATGTTTTAGAAAATATATAATAGATACATCTACTTAAATAGATTTTTTTGTATATATCATTGGTACTTTGGTATATATAATGTATAATGATTAAATTATTTAAAAATAATACAAAGATAAATGTTTTGTAGGCAATTAGCCATGGTTTAGCTTTTTTTCTAGAACAATAGTATATAAAGGGAACATGCAATACGTTTCTCAAACAATTTTCAATATACGGCCTGCGACCTTATGTTTTGCAATCATTTGTATTCATGAATATCATTGTTTGTATAGCCCTAGGTGTTTTCTACGCACATTATGTACATATGTAAAATCAATGGATCTAAGTATTTATATTAGTTCTCTAGTATCTATAACATAAACTCTGCTTAGTTAGGGATTAGATGGCGCTGTGTGAATTGTCCAGGGATATTGTATTGAATATTGTACATTTTATGTAGGTTAATAATAATAAATTATAATATCCATATTGATATGTTCATTGCAAATAAATATAAATATGTTAAATTCCAGAGTCCAGTCGGCGTCATGACAACGAGTGCCGGAGCACCAATTGATGTGGTGGAGGCAAGAGTAACACTGAATTCACCCTTACTTTTTAATGAGTACTTTATGGATTCCCTAACTCATTTAGTAAGAGAGAGAATTCCAGAGCGATTAGTCCACGCTAAAGCAGCAGGTGGGTTTGGCTATTTTGAAGTAACCCACGATATTTCCGACATTTGCAAAGCAAAATTCCTTAGCTCCATTGGTAAACGGACTCCAGTAGCAGCTAGGTTTTCTCCTGTTGTGGTCGAAAGAGGAGGCATTGATACTTCACGAGATGCTAGAGGATTCGCTATTAAATTTTACACTGAGGAAGGCAACTTTGATATCGTTGGCTTCAATACACCTATGTATGTGTATAAAGACCCACTGTTGTTTTCAACATTCGTCAGAGCCCAGAAAAGAAATCCAGCAACAAATTTGATGGACGGGAACATGTTTTGGGACTTTTTAACTCTACAGCCGGAAAGTTTACACATGTTTATGTTAGTTTTCGGAGATCGAGGTATTCCCGATGGTTACCGTCATATGCCTGGGTTTGCTATACATACGTTCGAGGTTGTCAATGACTATGGAGAAAAGACTTTCGTAAGATTTCATTTTCTACCGGAAGCTGGTATTAAAAATTTAGGTTCCGCTCAAGCCAGGAAAATAGCAGCAGTCGATCCTGATTATGCCATTCGAGATTTATATAATGCTATTGGCAACGGAAATTATCCAAAATGGAGAGTTAGCATCCAAGTGCTGACCTTGGATGATGTTAAAACTGCGGGATTTGATGTTTTCGACGTGACGAAAGTCTTGCCGCTAGATAAGTACCCATTGAGACCATTAGGATACTTTGTCTTAAATAAGAATCCTATAAATTATTTCGCTGAAATTGAACAATTAGCATTTAGTCCTTCTAACCTCGTACCTGGAATTTTAGGAGGTCCCGACAAAGTTTACGAATCAAGACGGCTGGCATATAGAGATGCCCAGTACTACCGTTTAGGATCAAATTTCAATAATATACCTGTAAATTGCCCTATTCAAGCTAAGACTTTTACCTATAACCGAGACGGTAAACCACCTGTTAAGGATAATGAAAGAGATACTCCCAATTATTATCCAAATAGTTTCAATGGTCCAGTTCCTTATAAAGATAAACATAGAGTGTCTATAATACAGATATATCAGGATGAACCAAATATTTTTGAACAAGCGAGAAACATGTATGAAAATGAAATGACTCCTGATGAAAGAACTAGATTGGTAGAGAATATTCTTTATAGTTTGGGCAGTGTTACGTCATTTATTCAAGATAGGGCTGTAAAATTGTTTACTGTTATTCATCCTAATTTAGGTAGTCGAATATCGGAAGGTTTGGCGGTAAACAGGACTACGAACATTTATGATTGGAATGATCTCTGAAAAATTACTATTAAGATTACACCAAAGACGCTAAGAAGAAAAAAATGTGAGAGTTATTGGTAGAAGTATATACTAAATATAATAACAATAAATATTTATTACTTATCTATTTAATGTTAACGTCTACTAGTTATAAATTATGTTAATGTAAAAATTACCAATAATTTAATATAATATTGTTTAGTTCTTTATATTGTAAAAATATTTATTTTTCTATGGTGTGGTTCGTTTTTTTATCCTTCCTTAGCATCCACATGGTTGAATATATTTCAACATGGCAGTATTTTAATTATACTCGATGTAAATTTTATTTAATTCTCTTAAAAATCCTTCTAATATTTTTTATTAAAATTAAAAGTATAAGTTTAATATTATATGGGACATATAATTATTTATTTTTTATAGACCTATAAGATAAGATAATAATATAAGATAATTACTTTCTTTTGTTAGTTTAATGCAAACGCCTGGATAAACATTACAGGCAATATTTTTATACTGCATGTTAATTGTTAGTTATTTTTAAGGTCCTTTCGTCTTGTGCTTATTGAAAAATAATTTTATATTTAGAGTAATACAATGTTTTTTTTATTAAAGGACAAGACAATTATCAACTAAATTTATCCTATTTCGTACTCGGCACAAAGGTTCCCATAATGCCAGCGTTATGGCATTTCTGCGCCGAATTGGTAGAGAAATCCTTTGAACTTTGTGTTTTAATATTTAAATAAACCTAGTCTATAGTTACTGAGATTAGATTTAGAATTTATAACCATCATTGTAGTGTGTAGGTACAGATTAGATTGTCGTATCTCGTAAGTCACTTGATATTAGGCTAAAGGACACCCGGTTATATCGTAGGTAATAAATTGCTCTAACCAGATCTGATTCAGATATTAGGCAATATATTAGATAGAATGATTCATTATTAAGTCTATGTATTGACTTCCCATTATTGGGTACAGTATTCAAATTCGACAGTATGACTAAACTTACAGTCATAGAAGTAATTGTGTATTTGATATAAACAGCCAAATACTTTTATTATCTAGCTGTAATGTTTTCTTTTATAGAAATAATAATTATATTGTATTGAACTAATATGTTTAAACAGAATAACATGGTGAACAAAATTAATCAGAGGTTGACTTAAAAGTTGGCAGCGTGGGTACCGCAATCTCGCCTCTATCAGCCTGCAAGCAGCATAGTTTGTAAGCTGTATTTTGGTTGTAGGGTGCAGGTTATGCTCTCCAAGTAAAAAAAGGTGCAGATCAATATGCAGAAATGATATCTTAGTCAAGTCATCTCGAATGGTATCGCGGGTATCATATCATATTCGATAGTGCGATGTCTGTAGTGTCATGTATATAAACGACGGTTATCACATACCATCTGGTCGGCTATTAGTCTGTTTGCCATTTCAATTACATAAAAATGAGTGTATGATGATGGTCCTATACATTGCGACATAGGGATATTCAAGTTGCATATTCAGTTATAGAACCCTAAAAATTCCAGCCCTGTGGAATGTGAATATTCTTAGTGTGAAATTACAATTCCTAAGACCGTATTCAAATTGCTTATTGTGTTTTGAGTTGTTTTGACGTTTGCCTTGTAGTTAAAATAGGCACGTTCGTTTTTGTTACAGAATCGAACTGCGATTGTCCACAGACTAAAAATGTTTTATACTCGTAATTGTGAATTCTAGCAGTATTGCAATATTTACCATGTTAAACTTGTCAGCTGTGTTTATAGAAATGGACGCAATGAAAGGTTGTCGTAACATGAATGGGTTATAAAGAGTTCCTTTACAATTATGCCGTGGGAGAATACGAGAAGTGTTCAATTTCATTATTACGTTTAGTTTCAAGTTATTTTCTCAAGAATGTGGCGCGTTTATTGACAGCCTTTTTTCCTAGTTAAGTAAACCTGATGAGAAATTCATTATGATTTGTGTATTGCATACCTGCATGCAATTTTATACTAAACTTTAAATAATTAGTAGAAAACAACCAACTCATTCAAATTAAATATTTTATATACATTTATAGTATGTTGGGAACATATTAATTTAATTTCTGTTATGTTTCCGATATTTTTAATGATAATATATGTATTTTATGGAACGGAATGGCAAACAAGATGGCGTCTCACCTGAGGGAAGTGGTTGGTAATTATTTTCTCAACTAGCCTAGCTAGTAATTTCAATGTTATACTTGAAACTTATACAGAAATAGGTGAGGGTGTCCATGTAGATGACTTTCAGATAAGGTTTCTCTCTATTAGATGTTAATACTTTTAAGAGTTTGTCAATATCTCATCGAAGCTTATATCGTATTAGGTTCTGAATGAATACCCAACCAACAATTAATTTGGTTTATTTTCTGTAATATTTTTATAGGTGTATCTTACTATTATACTGAAATTTGTACCTACAAGTGATTTTATTTTATAAGATAAAATCCTTAACAAATGCAACGTCAAAACGAATAAAGCTAAATATAAAATGTGCTGGTCGCCGGGTCAATTTAATCTAGAATTCTAGATTATTAATGTATCAAGTCTATAAACTGCGGATTGCTAATAGTTTTGTTGACGGCGTAAGCTAAACATATGGTCTTGATCCAGCTTGCAATCACGAGAAAGTGTCATCAAAAGCTAAGCTTGCAAACTTATTGGCATGTTGACATAAGTTGTGAATCCTGGGGTCAATATGTTTACTATACTGCATTTCTAAGAAAGTTTGTTAACTTTGGCTACAACATAAGGTATTATGTATAGTAGATATAAACTTAAGCTGCATATATGGAATGGCAGAGTTAGGGCTAGTACACACAGTAGTTAAAATATAAACTATTTTAAGATTATCAAAAAGCAAAAACGACATTGTTATTTAAAATCCTTGTTACTTATATAATTCATTACTGACAACCCACGCCAAATTATTCATTATGGGAATGCAATTGTTGTAAGGCTTTCTAAGTTACTGAATAAAATACAGCCATGATATACACTTAATATAGATAATAATGTAGCTATATATAGGTCAAATATTGATTATTTTTTAAATATAATTACTTTTCTGTTCATCAATTACGAAACAATTATACAGTCATTACTCTTTTCCTATTTTTACAATAATAAAAATTAAGGCGCATTAACCCAAAATTTTCACTACCTAATTTTTACGATAAAAGTATTTAGGATTCTATTGAATATCTTAATAATTAAAAAAGTGGAAGAGAATTACATACTGCGCCGACCCCAAATAATGGAATAAAGGCAAGGCAATGATGATGATCTTAATAATTAAATTATTTATAAGGTGGGTCGTATTTTATGCAGTAGACTATCTAAATAGTCTACATACTCACATCTACAGTTGACACTGTAGATGATCAGAGCGTCTCAATAGTTTCGACTCGATATTTGATACCATTCTCGCATATGTGACGCTGCTTTCACGTTTATCAATTACTTGTTTATTTTATTTTAAATACTCTATATCTACATCCAAATACATTGAACGACATGTATTTAAAAAAAATACAATTCTCATGCATTTGGGGTTTCTTCTTTAGGCTTATTTATCAGTCACTCATTGGCGAGTAATCTTCCGGAAAACATCAAAATAAATCTTATTATTTTTTTAATTTCATTTGCATTTTGCTGGTTGCTAATAATCTAATATTTGTAGTAAAAATATTGTAAATATCCCAAATATCCGAGTAAACTCTTGAACTAATTCCTAAATTTAGAACTAATTCCTAATTTACCTAATGCATCACAGTTTATCCTGGCATTAGTTAAAATGAAAGTATTAATTAAACAGGCCCTAAGTCAAGAAGTATTAAATACATTACAAGTTTCCACTAGAGCCATTTACTGAAAATTTATTAGTACATCTCAATTAAAAGCTTAATAAAATGTTCACTTAATTTCTTGTATGAGACATGTTATTAATAAGTTAGTTGTGAACGACACAGCGATACTACATTAAAACGTAAGTTAACTTTAATAGTTTTTTAAATAAACATAATTAATATATTTTTTTTATGCTCCAATTTTGTAGTTGTTCGTGTTTTCTATATAAAATACTGGGCAACACTCAATGCGAAACTATTGAAGAGTAAACGAGTTTGATTATAGAGGATTATCTGAAGCCATAAAGCTATAAAAAACTGACGATACGATACTGTATCGAGTTTAATTATTTTTTGTATTTTTTCTCATGTTTGTCGGAAGTATTGACAGTTTTAATTTCCATGTGCGATCTTAACACTTCCAAAGTGACATTCCGCTTAAGTATTAATTTGTTCTGGTCAGTTATGGTCGTGGGAACTGCAGTGTACACCGAATCGCAACAGTAATGATGAGAAACTTGTAACAACTATACTACAACTGTTTTATGGTCATCATATATACAATCACATGTAAAAAATCAATATATTTTTTATCTAATTATTCCAATGCTTTTCGACGTAGCTAACCTTACAGCTCCACCGGACGAAACTCGGAGCGGGTGCAGAGGGCACTTCACATCCGCGGAAGTATGGAGCAGCTGAAGGCCAACAACCATTTGACAAGAGGGTATTGTTAATAAAGATGGCTAGTACCGGTTGCTGGCAGCTTGCCCAACATTTTTTTTATGAATATTTGTATTATTTTGATTCCCTTTTTTTTTACAACATGTAGAGTAACACGCCCTGCAGCTAGGTATAGCGATGACATAGGTAGGTTAGGGTAATAACTGGAAGATCAGGGCGGAAGATTCTGCCCAATGGGGTGCCTTGGGAGAGGACTATGTCCAGCAGTTGACTACAGTGGAATGATGATGATGATACCCTTTTTATTTCACTTTTCTTTTGTTGTGAGTCCACGTGGGAATAATACACACATTATTCCTGATTATTTTAAAATAATTGTAGACCCATCCCGATTCTGACACAGTGGCCTTCTTGCTTTGAACCATGTCAAGTCGACCTCTATGCGGTACCTTT